CCCGACTGACTACATGCGGTTGGCCAGCATCATCGACTGCTTACCAGACAGGCTCATCCTATCCCAAAGGCGGTCCAAAGCTCGCCAGTGCCAGCATTGCATCGCATCCGGCCGGAGATTTCCACTCTACTCTCATACGACACGAGCCTGTACTTCCCGGGATCCCCGCCCATCGTTGCTGTTTAGCCCGGGGCTGCTTTCTTATTAGCGTTCCCGGCAGGAACTTCTCTGTCTGTCATCTCTCTCACGCGCCATCGAGTCGCTTCTGGTTTTGATCTTTGGTTTCCTCACCGTTTGCCTTCGTCCTCGCCGTCAACACCCTTCTCCTCCTCCTCGTCCTCGTCCTCCTCGTTCCTCCCCCCCTTCGACCACCCCGTCTCAGTCACACTTGCATTAGATCGTTGTTGCTGCATCCGCACCACCCACACCCACTTATTAACACACACCCACTTTGCTCTCTGCCTCTCTTACACACACACACACACACACACACACACACACACACACACACACACACACACACACACACACACACACACACACACATACACTCACTCACTCACTCTCGTCACTTTCATTTGCTTTCTTTCCTCTTCTCCGTTACTCGCTCTCTTCAAAGAAACACACCCACACCCACCCACCCATCCACACACACACACACACACACACACACACACCGCACACAACTTATTATTACCATTGCATCCATACAACTCGTTTCTCCAAGTACCAACTTTGATCTTTTCGTTCTTAACCCCTCGTATAACTTGCATCCGCCTTCTTCCATACTTTGGATTTTCACTCACCACTCGACTACTTTTCCCGTCGCCCCGCGTGGCTGATAGTCGCCGCCCCACCCCATAAACGAGGTGTATCACTTCTCAGAATCCTTGTTGATTGCCTCACGGCTGCCTTTCTTTTCTCTTCCCCCCTTCCGGAGGCTTCTGCTTGATTGCGCTCAGCTTTTTATTGGCGAAAACAAACAAGATCCGGATACGGCCCGGGGAGAAGGGGATACGTCATGACGTCGATAGTGAGTTTGCTTTTTCCTGTAATTCTGTCTACCCATTGCTTCTCTCGCCCGGCGGTACCACCTTATCCTCCCCCCAAAAAGTCCAGTTTCCCCGGACCAGCAGCCAATCTCGACTGCAGTGTCTTGCTGTCCCCGGCCGTCAAGCCTGCCCGTCCGTCTGCCTTTGTGTAATTGGCGACAGCCGCTCGCTCACCGCCTCACCGCTTCCCGCATATCAGTGCACATGCCCATCCTCTCCGTCTTCCCCGTCCTCCCAGACACTCAGACAAACCAGACACGAGACACCGGCAATCAGGAAAGCATCCCCACGACCGGGGCCCTGCCTGTTGCAACCGGCCTCGCCTTGCCCAACTTTCTCATCCCATCCCAATCTTCTCCCATGTCCGAACACCGCAATATCCCGTTTTCTAATTAGCCCCTTCCATCTCTTGTCCTCCCCCATTCCCATGCCCAAACCCATTCACCACCACCCAGACCCCCTTCAGACTGACCATAAGAAAGGGAGACTACGCCGCCATGGCCTCCTCCATGCTTTCTCACAACTACCCTCCCTGTCTCTGTCACACATACGTCTCTACCCATGGGCGCCTGCCACCACTCGTATCTTACTCTACCGTCGTGCCCTTCTATATCCCGTCCCCCGTCCGCCCGAGGATAAGCTGCACCGCCATCCTTCATCTACTCTTCTTCTCACACACCGTCATGTCTGCTCTTGTTTTTTGAGAACACCATTTGCTCCCCCTTGCTGCGCAAGACTTTGTCCTTGTTGTTATTGTCCTTGTCATTGTCTCTCCCCCGTTCCGCCAAGGTCGCTCGCCGTCTTTTCTCACGATGCGCGTCCCGTCGTTTGAGGACACACTCGCCACTCCTGGCGAACATAGTGCAGCAATGCCTCAACCACCAAATACGCAGTCACTAATGACCGGCCTCCAGCTATGCCTCGCTCACTACTGCGACCAACACGGCCCGACCCCGCTGATGGTCACCGAGGGCCTGCCCGTCCCATGCACCACATGCTTCGATGATGGCCCTGCCGGTTATGCCGACCAGGATCAACTCCGACCCCGGACCAGCGTCCCAACGACTGCTGCATCTCTGAACCAGACAGTGGCCATGACCGATGCGCTGCGCCAAATGCACCTCAACCCCCATCGCAGCTCGTCTATGCCCACCTCTGAGAACGAAGCTCAGGTTCAGCGCGCCGCCATTCTTCGTGCGTCCGCCGCCAACTCCCCGGCTTCGCCACTGTCGCCCTCAGCCATCGAGACCCCACCCGAAAGCCCCCGCCGCCTATCAGAGCAGCAACCGCAGCCACGACGCGACTCGAGTTTCCGCAGAACCTACGACGAATACGTTACGAAGCGCGCCGGCCCATGCGAGAATTGTGCGTTAACGCTACCGCAACGACAGGGTAGCAAGGACAAGGCCGACATGAAGGCCGAGCGTGGCCCTACCTTGCGCACTCGCGCACCATATGCGAGAGTATACGGGCAGGCATCGCCGCCAGCCTCGTCTGCTAGCGATACCGACGGAGAAAGTCAACCAGGACGAATGCACCGAAGAGCAACGGGCTCCTCCACGACGCGATCGAGCATCTCCTCGGGGAGACACACAAGTCATACCCACTACCTCGACTATACCTCGACCCACGAGCCACTCATCCCGTCCTCCTTCTCAATCGTGCGATCCTCGTGCCTGCGCACCCTCTCGCTGGAGACTCTTCCTCGTGCGCCCGCAAATCCTACGCCGAGTGCCTCGCCACAGTCCAGCAATATGCCTGCCTTCGTCACGACGCATAGCGCTGGGGCGGCAGCGTCTGGTGGTCCTATCTTCTTCGGAGACCCAGTTAACGGGTACACGACGGCTTACATTTTCCGCATCCCGGATATGCACGCTAGAGGACACAAGCGAGTATATGCCTTCCTTGCCCTGAGCACGCACAAGGAGCGTCTTGCTATGAAAACATTTGGATTTATGGCTGCCGCCTTCCGTGATCTTGCGTCATGGATCCAGCAGTTGGCGGAAGCCGAAGCCGAGAAGGCAGCCGAGGCTAGCCCCGTGGGAGGCCCGCAACACCACAGCTCTTATCCCATGGTGACCAGACCGGATAGAGAGGGACCTGACCGTGGTGGCAGCAGCTTTCTCACTGGAGGCGGCGGCTTCTCAAGGCGAATGGGTGGCGGTCCTGGGGGGGTCTCGCTCAAGGCCCGCGGCCTTGCTGAGCTCGTCGGTATGCCCGATTTCTTCATCGAGCTTCATGCCAAGTTTGTCAAGCTCATGCTTGAGCTCGGTGTTGTACTAAGCTCCTAACCACTCTGGTGGCTGCACATATACGTTTACAACATATTGTCCCACTGACATCTCATGGACACGAGATGGGGAAGACCTACCCTCTGGGGAGGAGGGGTATCAATGCACATCTGCATGCGTGCTCTGGCAGGTTCGGCCAGAACACGTGTTGCACCGTGCGAGAACATCCTCGAACCAACAAGCGGCAACAATAATGACAATCAATAATCATCTTTGCTTGCTGGTTGAAATGGAGATGAGAAGATGGGAAGGAGAGTTTTGCGAAAGGAGAGACGGATATACCCCCCGTTGAGATGAACGTCATCTCACATTGCGCCATGACTTTCTGCATTAGCGACGGCAGCATCCGGAGTCTTTTTTCATTTTTTTTTCTTCTTCTTTTGCTGAGCCTCACCGAGCGTTTCGCGCTTGAGGAGAATGGCTTAGAGCTCGACCGACTTTGATATTCAGGGTTTCTTTAACAAAAGGGGGTGGAAGGGTTGCTGGATGTGCTGGTTTGCCCCATAGCTTTATGATTCATGTTCTTCTCACTCCGGTTTCTTCCTTACTATCCTGCTCTTTTCTTTGCAGGCTTCTTTTTTTTTTTTTTTGTTTTTTTTTTTTGTTCTCTTGAATTAAGGAATCCCAGGCCGGTGGGTGGCATGGAAAAAGAGGGCAAAGGAAAAAAAGGGCAACCAAAATGGACGGGAAAGGGAAAAAGGAAACCACTTAGAGATAGGAAATCCGGCCTTAATGGAAAACAAGACTTGGGGGAAAGTTCACAACGGGGTCTGTCAGAAATATAATCCCGCTGCCAAATCGAGCTGTGTGTCTTCGTGCCCGTTACTCTTTGGCTCTTGGTGACATAAGACCCCACCCCCCGAATACGCGTCGAGGCGGGGCCTGCCTGGAATGCGCGGGACGTGAATAAAGTTCAACGGTTTTTATTTGTCTGTCACTGGTCGATTCCTAACGCGATGTGCAGAATTTGGATCTAACTATCTACAATGCTACGTGCCTACAGACCGGAGACTAAGAGAGCGGGGGGGAGGGGGGAAAGTGTGATATGTAACCGTGGACTCGGCGAACCGGGGACGCTCGTTTACCTCGGCGTTGCGTTTGGGGGCAGGAGAGACCTCTAGTTGTCGGAAGAATCCGAGCCCCGGGGCACACCGGCGGGATATTGCCGACTCTGTTCAGCCCTCTCCCGTATCGTCCCGCCTGCCAGCCCCGGCGTTATCCCCGAGATCGTTCCGTCGCCGCGACGCGAGAGGTTGCAAACGCCAGAAGAGTGCCGTATACACGCAACATCGGGCAACTCGCCCGTGTGCGTAGCTCATGCTGGAATCCCAGAGCCGTCGGTATCATATCCCGGCGTCCTGTATATCTCCGTTCGTACTTCCGTATCTTCTTGTTCGAAACGTCATCACAATGGCAATCAGTGATAGAACCGCAACTGATCATGCAGACGGCAGCGCAGCTTCTTTACCAAGTGTATTGTACAAGGCAACGCCGAGCTTCGCTCCCCGAAGGCTTGAAAGTCTATCCCTTCCCTAATCGTGTCCCGGCGTGCTATTACATCGCCAGCATTGCAGCGTGCAGTGACTCGTTCCTCCGACGATACGCTTCCTTGCCCCCCATGCGCATCCTCCGTCTCCTCCTGGGCAGCGTCCGCAGCTTATTTGTAAAAGTCAAACTTGTTCTCGTCGCTCGTGCCTTTGACCTGGCTTGAGTAGGCGTCCTCCAAGTCGCTCTGGATAATGTTGTAACGGTTCTTCCGCACTGCGCGGAGACCAGCCTCCTGCATGATAGCAGCGATGACAGCACCGCTCAGGGGATCGTTGCGGACGATCAGAGAGTCCAGATCCACTTCAGGAGCGAGACTCATCTTGCTGGCGATGGTGGAGAAGATGAGACGACGTTCTCGTCTATCTCTCAAGCTGGGAAACTCAATCTTTCGGTCCAGACGACCGGGACGGAGCAGGGCGGGATCGAGGGTATCAGCTCGGTTGGTGGCCATGATGACCTTGACATTGGCGGTTTGGTCGAAACCATCCATCTGGTTGAGTAGCTCCAGCAGAATACGCTGGACTTCACGATCGGCACCAGTCTGAGCATCGAAACGCTTCGTCGCAATAGCATCGATCTCGTCGATGAAGATAATGGCGGGGGCGTTCTCGCGGGCCATGCGGAAGACGTCACGAACCATACGTGGACCCTCACCAAGGTACTTCTGCACGAACTCGGATCCGACGACGCGAATGAAGTTTGCTGTTGTGGAGTTCGCCACAGCCTTGACCAGCATTGTCTTTCCCGTTCCGGGGGGACCATAGAGCAACACGCCGCGAGGGGGGTCGATACCAATCTGCTTGTAAAGGTCGAAGTGCGTCAAAGGAAGCTCAACAGCCTCACGGATCTCTTGTTTCTGCATGTCCAGACCACCAACATCGGCATACGTCACGTCGGGCTTCTCATCGGCACCAAGCATGGCAATGGAGGAGTCCGCTTCGGGAGGGAGAATATCGACGAGAGCGTTCGAGTGACGGTGGAGGGCAACGGAGGACGAGGGCTTGAGCTTCTCGCGGTCGAGGGTGGAAAGGATACGGACGACATAGTTGGAGCCGGTGGAGGACTGCACGATTCCGGTGCTGCGATGGGTTAGCTATGATGAGGTCCTGCGGCTATGAGAGCAGCTGTGTGCGGGGTCTGCGTACTTCTGGTCGATGGCTTCCATAAACTGCCCGATCACCAGCGGGACGCTCTGGATCCGCTTGATCTCCTCCTGGGCCCGGACAAGCTCGCGCTTCAGACTCCTATGACGTCTTGTCAGCAAACTGAATACAATGCGGTGATTCCGAGCCAAGTCCCACCTCTGCTCATCCTTGATGTACTCCTCCTGCAGCTGAATGTACTCAAGTTGTCTTTGCAACTTCTTCAATGTGGCATAGTCGTCGCCTCCTTCCGTCGAAATGCCCTCGAAGTTCTCGATACTAGGGATTGTTGAGGGCGCCGTCTTCTTGTGAGGAAGGGTCTGGTTGGCCGGGTTTTCTACCAAAACGTCGCCCATCGTGTCAGAAATTCGGCGAGAAGTGGTGTCGTCGTAATGGGGTTTCGGGCACTATAGCTACGTCGGCGATCGCAGCAGATGTAGGTTCGCGGGGAGTGGACTTTGACGTTGACGATGGCAAAGGTGTTGTTGTCAAGCTTGGTGGTGCTTGCCTGCTCTAGCTTGCTGTAGGCGCCAATGGATACGCATGCAGCGTTCCAGCCAGGCTTAGTCAGGAACCTCGTGGAAGCTCTCGTATCACGTGAGGTCTACTTCCCAAGGCAGACTTCATTGCGGGTTGATTGGCTGAGCAGGTGACCTGGAGCAGGGCGGAATGCCTGCGGCACGCTACCCACTCTTTGAGGCAGCGATGCTCTCCGATTGGATAGTTGGGGGGCTACCTTCCCCCACCATGTATACTGTGGGGACAGCCTGAGAGGAATCCCTGCCATGATGATGTTAGGGTCTCTCCCGCAATCCACTGTTAGAGACGCCGGTGAGTGTCACTGCCGGACCTTAGCACAGCGTCCAGCGTCGGCACCTATCTCTTATCAACCTCCCCAAGCCCATGGGATGATGTGGTGGGCGGTGGTTTACCGGATGCCTCGTTAGGCCTCGTCCCAGCAAGTGACCTAGCACTGTACGGTATCAGTCACAGGCACACCTCTTCTCTTCGGTCTCGTACCCTTAATCACAACCTTGACTCCTTCAACATCTCATTCGCTCCGACGACACACCACTGGTTCCTCCACCCCGACAAGTTCGCCTGGTGTGCGTCCCTCTCCGTTCTTCCCCCAGCCGTTCTGACTGCTTTCAAACATTATCGGAGTTTTATCGTCTCTCCTCCATTTCCCCTCCAATACCCTAACCATCGTCATGTCGTCGTCTATTGCTATCCCGATGACGCCGTCGTCGGCCAACACATACCACCACCAGTCTGCCCAGGTGCGCGGTGCTACCAGCTCCTCTTCGTCGACGTACTCCAGTTCCCCTCGGACGTCTTCCCCGTCGTCCGCTCAGAAGCAGAAGATGGCCCACGGGCGCCGTCCTAGCCTTCTCAGTATGTCATCCCGCCTTATTTCTTGATCACAATGCCAGTCGTCGCAGTCTGGCCAGGCCTGGATGTCTCAGGGTCGTTGCACGGCATACAGCAGTCACTTACTGACACCTTGGGAAGGCTCCGCCTTGTCGAAGCAGGAAAGCACCGTTATCAACATCGGTGAGCCAAACGGCACCCCGCGCCTGGTATGACCACTTGCAACTCTTGTTATGGGGTATTCTGGCTGACAGGCTCATCAGATCACCTACCTCTCCTCGAGCCAAGGCTTTGCGTGGAACCCAGGTATGTCCCGACTTCAAACCAACTGCTACCCCGCCTCGGGCTGACAAGGGGATTGCAGAGATCTTCCTGCCATCCTATGTGGACTGCGACTACGTCCCCCTCGAGAACCGCCGGGAGCCTGTACACGAGATCGTCCTCAGCGACGAAGAGATCAACAATATGTTCCCTCAATAACAGTTCCCAGACCGCCGACCATGACGCTACACACGAACACCAACGTCCTGCGTGCTTTAGACCGATGGTTCTCACGAGACACCCTTTCATTTCCATACCACGGCGTCCGGATACGACCTGTAGCCTCTTTCTGATTCTTCTTCCACCATTTACATCAGACTGCGAACTAGAACAGCGGATGAGGCCATGCCCGGACCAGAGACGCACGGGCATGTGTACACACTGAGTGGAAGCACAATACATCCAGCATTTTCCTCTTTTATTGGGACGAGGACCTTTTATTAGTACCTAGGCTTGGGGGATCATTGGTGGAGTTGGAACTTCTTTCGGGCCGGATGGGGTTTCCGTCACGCCATATTTCTTATCAGTTTGTTGCCGTTATCCTTGGATTGGGGCGTTCTTCGGTATTGCCAGCACATACCCTCTTCTCACCCTCGATCATGTACCATGCCGCGCCTGCTCCGGTTTTCCCTTACTCTGCTTTCACACCTTTTCCATAGTCCAATAGAGTCAAAAGACACTATTCATGGTATGCTTTCCGTCATCCAGGGCCCCATTGGTGCATTGCTTGTGCGCCCCCTTGGCATATGAGGCTTATGCAAGTTAGTCCCATACTTGTAGGGGGGTTTGAACAGCCAAGGTAGCATGTCGGCCGAGTATGAATACGCTGTACACTAGGTCATGGTTTATGGGTTGCGTCGGGGTAGTTGAACGGACCTCCCTCAACTTTCGACCTTGGGCGTCTACCAACCACCTGTAAGATTTCAAGTCGCCGCCAAGCTGGGGTTCTCCGCAAGGCATACAACTCAAAAACCGAGATTCTTGAAGACCACCAAGAACGGTGCCGTGTTGACGTCAAATTCTGGTGAAACGTCCCCTTTGGTGACTGACTCAAGCCTTCTTATCTGAGCAGTCCTGGCACGGCGCACTGCCGTCGGGTGGCCTGTTTGAACGTCTTTCTCAGATGGCGTCGAACCGCAAAGGTGAGAGAAATAGGCGGGCCCAGCTTAGACTGGCCGGCGCTACTGTACGGTGTACATGTATTTCACCGCACCACCCGAAAGCTATTCATCAGCCGCCCCGAATGGCGCTCCGCTTCCAGGCCTGGCCTTGCCTTCCCCATGCTGCTCCTTCCTCAAAGGTTACTGCCAAGCAGCGTGGACCCCTTCATAAACGCGCCCCACATATCGGCTGTCCCGCGCCAGGTTCACAGCGTTTGATTCGACAGTCCAATGACTTTGCGAAACTGGGACATGGGGCCGTAGTCATAGCGCCGAAAGGCATGATGCCTGGGACAACTTGGATGAAAGATGTCGTCGAATGAAACGTTGAATTGCTGGAGTCGTTTCTCTCTCCTTTGCTCGCTGTTCCGCCCTGCCCAGCGAGTGGCAAAGTACCCTAGGGATCTCTCTGTTTGCCAACAAGGGAGCAGCTTAATACCTAGGTATCCGTAATCTGCATAGCATTCAGCCTATCCGGCTAATGTAGGGATATAAATTACCTGGGTGGGAAAGGGTAGCCTGACACTCACGTTACCATTGTTGTCATTGGCGGAATGTAGTATTGTATGATGCTATCTTCAACGGTGTCCTTGTTCTCCGTGTCTCCTCTTGATTGACGACGCAGGAAGCACCGTCGATCACATTCACGATTGCCGTTGGCTTGAAATGTGGACCCGGCATCCTGCGTCACCTCGAAGTAGGTTAGACGCATCGAGTACGGAGTAGGGGAGTCATCTTCTCCCGATTCACTCCTTTCTGCCCCCCTTCCCGCACATCCGAATTCCGGCGCTACATTTGTAGATAGACCTGAATAATACTCTTTATTTTATTTTTTATAGCTTAGATACGGCTAGCGTTCAGCACTTACGTTCTGGGGACGATTCCTGCAAAACACAAAGTCAGTTTTCAGGAAAGTCCTTGGAGTCGAGGTCCGTCTTCTGCTCCGTGTTGCACACACTGGCCCGGCGCCACGGTAGGGTGTCTGGCGCATTGTCCGATCTCGGCAGTTTTCCGTTGAGGTCGTACTGGCAGATGCAAGGGAAGGGAAGGTCACATGCTGATATCGATAAGATAGGCTCGCTGTGATGTGATGAGCGATAAGCGCGGGTGAGCGGCCTGCGGAAAGGTGGGACAAGTCGGACGACGGAGCTTGACGCGCGCCGACACTCAATTGTTCTCTCCTCCGGGCCGTCGTCTGACATAAACACGCGATCGACCACAAGCCCCTCGTGTACTAGACGAACACCCGACGCCCGACAACACACCAGACATCGTTTCTTGCCGGTACGGCACGCGTTTCTCGACGCCCCTGCCTCACCTTCCGACTAGGCCACCCTTTCGGCGTAGGATGGAGTCTGCGCACAGGAAGATCGAGCTGCAGTCCCACGAGGACCTCGCGTTCCTCCTCAACAACGTCCGACGCGCCGCGCAAGACCAGCTCGATAAGGCATTCCCCCACATCGAGGGGAGCACCTCGCAGGAGGACGAGTTGCGGGCGCCTATTGAGCGTCTTGTCAACGAGGTACGGACTCACTCTTATTATTGTGCGCAATTTTTTTTATTTGGACGTATTTTTCATTCTGTAGGCTTGCCTGGCCACGGAGTTGGTACCTAGCGCATTTAACGATTCCATGCCGGTTGTATGCTCGGGATGATTGTGTCGAACCTTCACACGGTCGAGTCAAAAATCGAATGAAGCCCAAATCGCTAACACACCGTCCTCAAAACAGTACATCGACAAAACCTTCACCTACGCCGCTCCGAACCTCTCCATAAACGGCCTCGACGCCGACCCAGCCAACTTTCTCTCTGCCAACCCCTCCGACGAGCCCGAAGAGACTTACGAGCCGTGGGACGCCCGCCTCCGCCAGCGCGTTGAAGACCTTGCCCGCGAGGAGGAGGACCTCCTCAACGAGATCGCCGCCCTGAAAAAGTCTGTTCCTGGCGCCGTCGCTGCCGCGGCGACGCACGACTTTAAGACCGCGGCGGCGGCAGACGAGTCCGCACTCGAAGCCGCTAAAAAGGCCAAGGAGGACGAGGCGAGGGAGGTTGAGGCCGAGGTGCTCCCGCTGGAAGAGATGGAAAGAAAGGCAGAGGTTGAGGAGGCATTTAGTGGCGCGGTTGGGGCGCTAGGGCGGTTGAAGAAGGAGATGCCGGCCACGGTCGCGAAGATGGAGCGGGCGAGGGTCGCAGGGGAATACACTGTCACGGAACGGTCGTGAGGAGTCCCGTGGGAGGGGACTGGTACGAATGCTTGGGAGTTTCGGCGTTAGGGGGCTCTATACCACAACCTGCCACTCATAGGTTTTCCTCGATCTTTCGGTCCAATCAAAACGAGTTATATGCGCAATCTGCATCACATCTGCAGCATAAACCACCTAAAAAGCAGCCGTGGAACTATTCTATTACGAAGGATCCAGGTGTCCAAACGAAAGTATGTATAACAGGAAACAGCTAAGTGTGCCAAAACCAACACAGGTATGAGCGATTCTGCAAAAAGAAGCTCTTATTTTTAGACCATTCCCGTCTTCACGCCTCTTTCTGCTTCGCCCCGGATGCAGCGAAAAATCTGTCAACGCCTTCTCTCTAGCTGCTCGACCAGCAGCACAACTCAAATAACAATCGCCTCTTTGGACGTATCGCGCGCGAGCTATCTCGAGGAAGCGCTTATGCAGCAGCAGGGGCCTTGGTGTCCGCAGTAGCATCGGCAGCGGCAGCGGGGGCAGGAGCGGAAGCATCAGCAGGGGCAGTGACTGTCTCGCCGCCCTTGTTCTCAATGACGTCGCCGGCGGGGGCCTTGGCCTCAGGCTTCGACCACCAGGGCTCCTTGGTCCACTCCTTCTCGTGCCACGGGCCGGCGTCGCTCATGTGGCAGCCGCCCGGGCACTCGCACTTACCGCCGAAGGCCTTGGGCAGGTTCTCGGCGGGAATCTGGGCGAGGAGCTCTTTCTGGTAGCCCGAGCCGAGGATGTTGATCTTCTGGACAGTCACGGGATCGAGCCAGCCCTTGACGACGCTCCAGACGGTGGAGAAACCCCAAGGGGCGTTGATCATGTAGAGCTTGCCAAGGCGCTCGGGGTAGTAGTTCTGGGAGATGACGGAGGCCTGCTTGACGTAGCTGTAGACCTGGGGCACGCGCGTGATGGTGACACCCTTGAGATCCATGATGGTGCAGCAGGTCTCAACGAGGTGGTTGTACTTGCGGGAGCAGGAGGGGAAGCGGGGGTCGGCACACTTCTCGTACTCAACGGCCAGGTTGGTCAACATGCGCTCCGCGGTGGTAATCTTGTACATGGCGGTCAAATCGATGCCGCCGAGCTGCTCGACGTAGACAGGACGGCCATCCTGCGGGTCCAGGCGTTAGCAAACTGCAGAGGCGATGACTTTCCTCAACCCCACAGCACTTCATACCTTATCGTTCTTGTGGTAGTACTGAGGGTAGAACTTGAAGAGCTCCTCCTTCTCGGGGTACTCCCAAGTGGGCACGGTCTCGTCAAGCTTGGTTGTTTTCCGCCATTCCTCGAAGTCGACGAACCTAAGGGTGTTCAATTAGCTGTCGGTGCACCGTTTGAAGTCGGAAACAAAAGGGATCCTCACATCTTCTTGGCCAGGTTGACATCGAACTTGCGGGCGCGGAGGAAACGCAGCTGTACCAGCAGTGTTAGCAGTCGGGACAGAACAATGGGACGCAAGCCGCCTTTAATATTGCGGTCTAGCTCGGGAAGCAAAGGAGCCTACCAGAGTCAAGGTGTCGAGACGCTTGCTGTAGCCATCAGACTCGAGCATCAGGCGCAGCTGGGAGACCTGGGCCTTCTGCTCAGGCGTAAGGTGGCCAGGGTGGCCATTTCCGGGCGTCGGGGCGACGGTCGGGAAGTCGTACTGGTCGTACTTGGGGTCGAGTTCCTGTTGGGACATGGTGGGGCTGGTCTAAGGGTCTTTGGTTTGCGTGTGAAGAAGGGTCGGCGGTGTGTAGGAGAGAAGGAGACTGAGAGGGATTTTGCAACAACGCAAAAAAGGCGGGGTGGTAGAAGAAGAAATGGAAATTCGCAACAAAAACGTTGCGGCGCGGTACCAGGTGTTGCTCCTGGAGGTAAGTCGAGACCAGGATCGTAGGCGTGTTTAGGGAGGAAGAAGCTGAGCTGTGGGGAAAAGGGAAGGAAGATCTCTGGCGGAAAGTAGCGGAGGCTTGGGAGGTCGAATTAAAGTGAAGTTGCTGGCGGAATGCCAGGCTTCGTCATACATAGCGACCGTCGACCGGTCCCGCACGCTGCTGCTACCCCCCCCCTTGGCTGCCCCTCAAATTGGCTGTTCGCCAATCCGTCTTCACCGCACTTACGCAGCCACATCCAAGATACGGGAGTACGTATGTGGGCGTCCTTATGTAATGTACAGGAACCCACCTACGAGCATTCAGAGGCGCTGGAGATTGGTGCATCATGGCCCACCAGATTGGCTGGCAATGTGTCTTGAATTGTCATGAGTCGGTCACGTTCTGTTTAGGCACTGGCTGTGAAAGTGGTATCGGATTTTGGTCGTGAGTGTTTGTGGCCCGGTGTATCTGAGGTGAGCCTTGACCGGGCTGGACTTCGAACGGGCCCAAGATCCCAGCCCGTTCAGTTGGGTGTTCCATAACATGTCATCCTTCACGCGGTTGAATGCGCTGCACAGGCTGAGTCTATGGCGTGGCACAGATGAACTGAATACTTTTATTATCGTGATGGATGCACTGGCACATTGAGGCCTCCCACACTCCAGGCCGGAACCCGAAATTAGGTCATCTTCGCACCCCTTGCTAGGATTCGTAAGCCTGTAAGGCTCTTATACCCCCCAATATCGGATAGAGTTCCGAGTCTATTACTGACTGACTGAGCTCAGGAGATTGTGCATCACAATGAGGCGCCATCGTGAAAATGACAGAATTACCAAGTGGTTTTTGTTTGGTATCGAGCATTGCATCAGCCGTTCGCCTCGCTTTCGTCCCCTTCCTTCTTGATGCCCTTTCCTTCTTCCTTGTCTTTGCGCTTCTGGACGACCTCCCAGTTGTAAACTCTCGCAATGGCAACCTCCATGGTCTGTTTTCAATCAGCATACTGCGGACAGCTCCATCGGGCGCCAAACGTACCGTGATCTGCTCTCTCAGGAAGTCTAGGTCTTCTTCGCAGTTTGATAAGCTCGTTTTCGCCGTCGATAGCTTGGACTCGAGAAGCGTCTCGGCCTCGTCGATAGGGTACGACAGCATCACGTTGGCCTATCGTTCAGTCAGTCTCAATCTTTCGCTATGTCTGCTCAGTCGCGAAACGTACGCCTAGCCAGATGTACACTTCCTCGGTGGGCGGGATCTTCGCCTTGGAGTATAGCGTGTCGTTGAGCTCGAAGGTCGTCTCGATTGGTTCATCATCGTTCTGAGTATCAAGTCAGCCCTCCTCTCCAAGCTGGCGTATCGACGGGTGACCCCTACCTGTCTGAGCTTCAAGAACCGCACGGAGTCTAGGGTCTTCTGGATATCGGGTATCTTGTCTTTGAGTCCGGCCATTCTCTTCTGAAGGTTCAGCTCCATGAACTGGTATTTCCTGCACACATCGACGGGTTACCAACAGTCTCCGCAGCGCGCCTATACAGGCCTTCGTCCTGCTCGTTGACACAGTTCTGGACTTGTGCCTAGCGGGCAAAGCACTTGCGGGCGACTCACGAAATCATCTCCTGGAAATTTCGCATAGTCGGTTCGACATCTTCGCGGGTTGTGACGTAGTCCTCAACCTTGTCGACGAACGGCGCCTTGGGGATACCTCGAGGGTTGCTGGGCGTGGCATCTTTGCTGCGTTGGGGTGAAAATTATTAGCATGGTCGCAGCGATCAGATATGGTGGGAACATTACCCAGCTGTATCCAGCTTCTTGCCCTCTGCCGACATTGTGGATTTGAGAAAATGTTGCCTTTAGTGCATCGTCTGTTGTCGGCAGGAAACTCGCGATTTTTCGTAACGGTGTGGAGGGGAGCTGCATGACGGTCCGCCACCGAGCCGATCCTACGGTGGCCTGTTCACCGAGGTGAGGGGTACAAGCTTGGTGGAGTACCGGTAGGTCCTTACGCCTTCCCCCTCCTCTGCAACTCCTGTAGAGACTCCAGTCGGCTAGAGAATAAAGCATGATGATTCTCTTCACAACATCCCATCTGGAAAGACATGGAGTTGAAGTGTTTGAAGAAGAGAAAGGCGCTAACTGAACAACTATTAGCCATGGCATTCGTTATAAAGAACAGTAGCCGGAGAGTAAAACCCGCAGCCAACACCATTCGAATGGAAAGAGAATTACCCTCGCTCGTGGAAACCATATCTATCAGTCTGGTGGTTGCTTGATCTACTAAAAGATGCCTATAAAGATGCAAACGAAGAGAAAATATCGCTGTCCAAAGGTTCATAAAACAAAACACTCGACTTATTCATCAAGGTAAAAGCTCACCGCCGCCCCGAATGGACTAGCAGCACGCCATGACCGAGCGCCCTGCATGTCTACGTCTCCACAACCAAGCTAAGCTACCTTATCTGGCTTATCTGGGGGAGCCGATAAACAAATTCCATGGAGTTTAAGCCGGTCCGACTGGTCTCCTTGCAAACACCTCCCGTCTCCGACAAAACTCTCCGCGACCAATTGATCCCTGATGCTCTCTCGTGTCTATCTCAATTTTATCCGTGGTCTTTCCAAGTGAAATAACTTGATAGACAAATCTCGTCTGAGTAACATTTGAGAGCAGCGCCTTGATCGCCGGTGGCGGGGTAGTATTACAAGAGCTCGGCAAACCAACCGAGAGACGCAATAATGGCTGACGCTGTGGTTGACCCCGAGACTGTGGCCGGCGGCGCGCTGCAAACGGTCAAGGATTTGGTAGCTGGTGCCGCGGGTGGCGTTGCTCAGGTTTTGCTCGGTATGGCTTTCTATTTGTCCACGCGAGATGTTGGGAGAAAAGAGGGAGCCGGCGATGTGTGCTTGAAGCTCTCGTGCCGACTTCGGAATGACACCCGAATCTCATGAGCGACTCACAGTCATCGCCACCGTCTCACTCAATCCCGCCCTCAAAATCACACGCGGCACGCAACACATGTGTCGACAACCGGAAAACTGACAATTCCCAGGCCAACCTTTCGATATCGTCAAAGTCCGCCTCCAGACCTCAACAACGTCCACATCAGCCCTGACCGCCGCCAGCCAAATCTACAAGAACGAGGGCGCTCTCGCCTTCTACAAGGGCACCCTCACACCCCTCATCGGCATCGGCGCCTGCGTCTCCATCCAGTTTGGCGCTTTCCACCAGGCCCGCCGCTACTTCGAGGCCCGCAACGCTGCCTCCTCCCTCGGCGCTAGCCCGGCCCTGAGCTACGGCCAGTATTACGCTGCGGGCGCCTTCGCCGGCGTCGCCAACTCGGTCATTTCGGGCCCCATCGAGCACGTCCGCATTCGCCTGCAGACCCAGCCTCACGGCGCTGCACGGCTGTACTCGGGCCCGCTCGATTGCGTCCGCAAGCTCTCGTCCCACGGGGGCGTGCTGAACGGCCTCTACCGCGGCGAGGCCGTGACAATCCTGCGCGAGGCTCAGGCCTACGGCGTCTGGTTCCTGGCCTTCGAGTGGATGATGAACGCCGACGCCGCGCGTAACAAGATCGACCGCAAGGACATCCCAAGCTACAAGATCGCCTTCTATGGCGGTCTGGCCGGCGAGGCGCTATGGCTCAGCAGCTACCCCTTTGACGTGATCAAGAGCAAGATGCAGACGGACGGCTTCGGCAAAGAGCAGCGGTACAAGACCATGCGCGACTGCTTCGCCCAGACGTACCGCGGTGAGGGATTGCGCGGGTTCTGGAGGGGCATCGTGCCGACGCTGCTGAGAGCCATGCCCGTCAGCGCCGGCACGTTTGCGACGGTTGAGTTGGCCATGCGGGCTCTCAGCTAAATCGCTGTCGTTTACTTTTCATGGGGTGCAACGTGGAGGGGATTGTGATTTGGGTTATTTCTTAGAAGATACGATTACGGGCTTGGCAAAATAGAAGTTTCAGGGGCAAATCCTTCCCAGAGTCTGTCATTTTCTGTTTCGAAATGACGGTGTCGTACGTACACATATGTCCCTGGTATTATTACATCGCAATAGACCTAAGCTAGGACGCTTAGCGTTTATTCTTTGTTTTCAACTCTACGCTGCAAGATGTGTCTCGCGTTCGCCGGAGTAAGTGTATCGATGTCCAGCTCCTCCAGGATTTTCTTTGCCTCGGCGTTGTCCGTAAACACCCTGTCAGTCGCATCCTTGAGCGACAGTGTACCGTCCTGAGGTTCGGTGGCAAGATTGAGCAGTTTCAAGGCGTCAGCCAGAATACCCAGCGACCCTACACCGTTCGGGATGTACCTCTCGACCAGGGCGAAGATAGCGTTGAGGTCGCGCGCAAACTGCGCTGCGCCAAATGCTGTAAAGCTCTGTCTCATAAGAACCTCGCCCCAGAGCATTTCTTGGAGCTTGTCGAGAGCTGCGCGCCACGTGCGACGGAATGATGCGGTGCCGATAGCCTTGAGCAGAAAGTCGAAGTTGCGCTTGAGGATCTGATTTGGGTCAGGGGGCGTTTCACGAATAGGGTCTTGGCAGGACTCACTCTTAGGGGCTCATCCAATTCGGGCGTGACAGCCAGTTGCGACGGGTCGACTGTAGGTCGGTTAGAGACGGAAACAACTTGGCCTGTATACCAGAAAGGCTTACTGTCTGGAACGCTATCGCTGATGGTCGTCCATTGAGTCCTTGTCGAGTACGCCCTAAAGGCCTTGTAGTGTGAGTCGGCAAGGGCATTGACCAAGAAGTCCTGGGCCGTCTTGCGTCTAAGGCTGTACGCAGCAATTGTCTCATCAAACAGAACTCCCTCGTCGCCTTCTGAGCCCACGGCAGCAGAAGTGCGGTCCTTGACCTCCTCGTAGCTCATCTCACCTGACATCCTCGACGGTTCGCTTTCTTTGGTCGCACGACCTTGCAGTTGGTCCCACAGCGTCACGAAGAACTCCTCGTTACCCCAGTCCTTGAGAGTATTTACGATGTGGTCCGCACTGCCGTATACTTTGCATAACGACTCAAGACTGCCGGTGCCTTCGAGAGCAGCGAGCTGTTCCTTGGTGACGCCGTGGAGAGTCCTGCCGACCGTGGACGTAAGTGCCTGGTAAGCCTCCAAGGAGTCGCGGAGACGATCATGGAACTCGTCGAGAATATCGAGCTGGATGCCGATTAAGAAACGTATTTTGTGCTTAAAGGTGCGAACTCTCTCGTATTGAGTCGTAATAGATCTCAAGAGATCGGTGACCCGCACAGCTCCGAAAGTCGGCTTGGTCTTGCCCGTCGCAGCATAGTCATAGTCAATGTTTCGCGCATCTGGCGTAGCCATGATAGCCCGGAAACGCTCCACGGCAAATTCCTTCTCCGCTTGGAACCAAGGTTCAAACCAGTCCTCGAGAATCTCCGTGGCAAGACCAGGCCAGCCCTGCTCTACGTTGCCACCATCGTAGCTGAACTTGGTCCGAACAGTCTCGTCGAATGTCATCAGCTGACCAATGAAGCTACTAAGGAATGCCGGGTTCTTGGCTGTATCGGCCACAACGGCCTGAACTTTCTCCTTCAACACGGGCAGCATGCTGGTGACGAATGCGCATACTGGGTCGATGTAGACCAAGCTGTTCCCTGCATGCGTGTCGCGGAATTTGGCAGCGAGTGTGAAACCCAAGTTATCTCTGAAAAAGTCTTCCCACTTCTCGATAGTCGCCAGAAACCAGGGAAAGCAGTGAGACCCAACAGCATCGGGCTTGCTCGTCGGTTTGTCGCTGAGGAAGTGGAAGCGGAACTCGGAGATGAAAATTCTCGACATGACGTCGAATGGCAGTAGAGTGACAGTGGATTTGCTCAAAATGACCTCTTGAATCTGGAGGTCAAGCAACTTTTCGAAGCAAGCAAGCCATTCCTCATCCATCTCAGAATTTGGTTCGACCATGGGCCACGACCTCTTGCTGAGTACAGCCTCCAGCTCGCCCGACATTGTTTTCTTCATCTCATCCCATAGCGCATCGGCGACGCTGCGTACGTGATTGACGAGGTGGACAGCAGCGTCGTCGGCCGGTCCAGAAAGCTCCTCGAGGCGCCTCGAAAGCTGCTTGAGCTTCGAATACGGCTCCAAGGCCGCCTTGGGGCTCCCAGGAAGATGCGATCGGGCTTCAGTCCGCAGTTTTTCGACATCTTGTAGCAGACAAAGATACCTCTGGGCGAGCTCGACCGTCTGTAGCTTCTTCATAGGCTGTTGTAGTCTAGCGATGGCTTGATTTGGGGCGTCGGACGCCGCTGCAATCTTGACGCGAACGTCGATGCTGTGCTGAAGTTCCTGGAAGTCCTGAATACGTTGAGCTAGCGAGGATTGTCGGTCGCCGGCTGTGCGCCGAGCCTCGTCGAGCTGTCTTATGGCATTGTCGAGTTGGGTTTGGAGCTGGCTCCTCTGGACTTCGACATTGGCGATTAGGGAGTCGAGATTGTCGAGATCGGTCGTGGACTGGAGCTTGTCGTCGAGGAAGTCCTCGACGCGAATATCGAGAGCACCGGTCTGAGGATGACTGTCGCGTATTGTGGTCATTGTAGTAGGTTTTAATCACCGCAGCTGAGGAGGCGCATCGACTGTCAAGTTCGCAACTTGTGGTCTGAACAATGACGTGGAGCTCAGTACGATACAATGGTGGGGTGTATGCAATTACCGAGCCAGACTGGACAGGTATGTAATTAAGTGAGATCAATATTTATCTATGTAAATACCCGTTCGATACAGTGTCTTAGCAACTGACCATAGATGTGTCTGGGTTCTGCGACCCAAGTTGGTTCCTCTTGCGCGCAGAATAAAGAAGACGCCTTCTGAGCAACAAACCTTGCACCGACCGTATGTTGAGATAGTTGATCTGGCTTTGATAAAGGCTCCAGAAAACGAGCGGTAAGCTCAGCCGCGCCGAGTTACACGGACCTCTTTCCCAGCCACACGTTAATTGAAGGAAGTATCAACACATTCCTATCTCGGGTCTTTAGTCGTCTTCAAGAGAAGAGGCAATCTCAGTGCATTGTGTGGCACGGTGTAACAAACCGTCGGTTCATTAGAGAGCCACGGTGGCATTAGTTAGAAGGTTGTTGATCCTGTTCAAGAGAATAGCTGTCTAGTGTTATGTTCATGTATACGGACCCGCCTTGACGGGTAAGATGAGAGTCATAGACTAGGTGCGTCAATGGCTTGCAAGACGTGTCTCATCGCGAACGGATGTTGACGATGACAGCATACAGTGCCATAGCGGATCGATTATTTGGGTGGCCGTGTTGTTAGACAGCTGCCGGGCGAAGCCATCACACTGGTTCCCGAGATCTCCAGAAATCTGGGAGCTCGGACTTCACAGGCAGCGCTAACATGTTTTGGGATGCAGCGTCTATCTATGTGGATCTAATAGCCAGGAAAGAAGAGCGATCGTTCGACCGCAGTGATAGATGCCAATATGTTTGTAGTGCAAAGCGTCGATTACTCGAACGTTCGATACGAAGAGCTGGTTGACGGTCGGCCATGTAGGCAAGTAGAGCGGTGTGTTGGACCGCCTTACCGTCTTGATGGAAATCACGGAGCTGCTTGGGGTTCCTGCGGCAAACGTATCCGCCCGGCAGGGAAAGCGACTTCCGAATAGCCTCAGCCATTTGGGATGTTTAGGTGGCTTACCATGTATGTGGCAGGTTGCCAAGACTCTGTATCCGTCGAGGAGCCAGTAACGAATATTGGCTGTCATCGAACCCATAGCGTTTTCAATGCTGTCGCCATGCCAACAGGGGGGGGGCAAAGGGCCAAGATCCGTGAGACGGCGGCACAACGCATCACCAAGACTCGGCGCGAGCGAATGAATGAAAACAAGGAACCAACCAGGTAGACGTGCCGGACCCCGGCTCCGGGTCTCGCCTCAAATGCAGGAACGCCCGAGATGTGTTCCTGGGTCGAGTCGCGCGCAGGTTGAATTGGGTTAGATACTTTGTAGACGGTAGCCTGAAGCAAGCGGATGAACAAGGAAGGCTGCAGGATGCGAGGGTTTAGACGCCCAGCCAAAGCCATTTTGGGACGGTGGCGGCTTCAGAGATCTTCGCAATGCAGAGAGGAAACATCATTATTGAAGGACGGACTCACATACGACGACAAGAATCGGAGGCAGAAGACGCGAATAGGAGCTACTACGTAGGCGAGTACGTAGTAGAGTGTTGCGCTAAGAAGCGGCCTTAGATTCGACGGGGGACACGGAACGGGGGACCCCTGAAAAGACGTCACCCAGCCACGGGCTTTTTTTCAACCTCTCAGGCCCTCTTAGCCCTGTTAGGTGCCCGCGCTGATGGAACCGCCTTCCCACTAGGGAAGTGCAGATACCATAGAAGGGCACCCCCCCGGACTGTTGGCCAGGGTTCGCGCGAGGTACTTGGGTACGTACCGAGCTCACCCCCACCCTCCACCGCTCTGCTCGCCCCAGGAACCGCTGCGACGCAGCAAATTGCCCTGACAACGGCGGCAGCGCCACGAGTAAATAGAGGAGGTTGGCGTAGCTACGTAACACTCTTCGCCCTTCTTGGTGTGCCAACACCGCACAGTCGCTGGCAAAAAATGGATGGCAGGACCAATTGCACATCGTCCTCAACTCTCTTTTTCCTAATCCAGTCCCTCTTTCTCCAGACTCATCCATCGAGCTCTCTACCCAGCCATCTGAATATTCCCATCCGCTCTGCAGACGTCCGCGGGCATCCCGCTCTCCATTCTGGAACAACTGTTGCCAGAGACAGACAAAACTAAGTCCACCCTCACCCTGTCATATCTGCTCTTCCCCTCTCCCTCCCAGCCATCCCAATATTCCAGACTGCATCATACCACTTCCTCCCGACCTTGAAGACCCAAACCACACACCCACTCTCTCACTCCAACCCTTCTCACTCACACACTTCCTATCGTCTCTCACGCCCTTCATTCTCGACGACAGCATCAAAGTGATAGTTTCTTTTCGTGTCTGACAACAACCGTCAAGTCTGATAGCAGGTCCAACATCGTCCCGCATTCCTCGCGGTGTTCTCCAGCAATACTCGCCCTCGTTTCTAGAACGAACCCAGCAAACCTTGTCGCTACATTCTTCTCTACTTCGCGTCAACCCCCATCAGCTCCGCATTCCTCGCGCGCTTGTCTTCCCCGCCTGACCATAAGGAAAGACATTCTGCGTGCCAGCGCTGAGGGTGCCAGGACCAGAACCCCTCCGTCGCTCCGCTACAACGGAGGACGGCGTGGGTCAAGCAAATACGAGCCCATCTCTCTAGCGGAGTGGACGATTAAGATCACATAGTCAAGATGGCCAAATTCCAGGTTGGCTGGTATCGTAAGTTGCTCCATGCTTCTTCCGCTTGAGTGAAGGAAGCATTCCAGACTAACATTGCATCTCTCTTTTAGGGTTCGTACCGTTCCTTGGATACCACCATGTCTTGATGATCTTGATAGCAATCGCCATCATCCTCTTATGTGAGTTATCTGACGGCGACATGCAACGAAAAGCGTTTACTGACATTGTCCGCAGCTCTACTGTTGGCAGGATGCTCTTCATCTTCACCTTTGATCCCCGATATCTTCCTCCTGTCTCTGTACTACGACCAGTACACAGCGGTGCCTTCAACGGCGCAAGTTGACTACAATGTGCACACGGCCATCGAAAACATCGCCGGTGACGCCCGCCTCGCCTGCCGTGTTGGTTACTTCGGAATCTGCATCAGCCCAGATGGCGGCAGCTGGCTTTGCAGCAACAACGCTACTGCTCTTGCCAACGAGGTTTCCGTCGACCAGGATCCCCTCAACCTGATCTGGCTTGCCGCTCAGTTCAAGGACATGATCGTGTTTCCTTACCTCATGTAAGTTTAACCGCTCGACTATTTTGCAAGCACATTGTCCTGACCTCTTGATCAGTATCATCGCCATCATCTTTGCCTTCGTCTGCTTCCTCTTGCTCGCTACCTTCCCCGGATGGCACGAGGAGGAGGACTCCGAGGGCTCTGATCGCGAAGTCAAGCCGTTCCCTTCGCGACCCGTTTCCCAGATCTCGTTGGCAATCATCTTCATCGCCTCCATCTTCGTTCTCGTCTCCGTGTTATGGCAGCACACCGCCTCAGTTGCCGCATCCATCATCGCTCAAGACTTCGGAAATGGCGCCGTCCGCTCCGGTGTCGGTACTTCCGCCATGGTCCTCGGTTGGTTCAGCTTCACCCTGCTCATCATCGTCACCATCGGTCTGTTGGTCATGATCCTGAGTATCCGTGTTCTGAGCCAAATGGTCGACTAGACTGAGGCGCATAACGATAATCCGAGACGGAAGGATTCGAAGACGACATATGTGTAGAGGATGGGCCCGAAGCCCCGCGCAAGAGAGAATGGAATCTTTGTACATGGAGGGATTTTTCGAGAAGGGCATTTTTCAACCCAGCTCCCCATCAGCACATTCATCGTCCAGCACAAAAGACCATCAGCATCAGGGAAATCGGCGTTGTATATCACGTTTGCGTTTTGATTTTTACTTATTCTTATTTGGCATTTCGTTTTGGGTCGGCAAAGGGCGGCGATCACATGCAGGTTGCGCCCGCCCCCCGTCATTTAATGTTGTTTGCTCTCAACGACAAGCGAGAGCGAGAACGACCGATAGACGAATGGCTGCAGGACCTCTTTTCTTACAAGCCAGAAGGGAAAAGACTGGATATGGCCGTGGTGAACAAGATGGGGCCGGCGTGAAGGGAAACAGGGAAACGAATTGGACGCAAAGGAATATGGAAATGGGACACGTGTAGGAGCAGGTCATGACACCTCGCATGACGGCGAAAGAGGCTTTGGAGCAGAACGAAATACAAGATGAGATGATTGAAGGATATGAAATTGAGAATGACGAACAAAATCCCTCCCCTCCATCCAAATATGGAATTGTTGATTTGGTGATACACGTTCATGATGGTACGTACGGACAGCAACGAGGTGTTGTCGACCAACCAATGACCAACAAAGGGGGACCATTCACATCGCTCAGAGGACCGCGAAAGGGATAAATCAAGCATAAGTAGTAGTAGTCAGTCAGTTCATTGCCGATCATCGTGCTCCTCGGGTCAGCTTTGGGATAGCCCCGCCCCCTTCTTTTCAGAAAACCCAAGTTTATACAACGCAACGAACCAAACACGCAACGAGACATGTATGTTTGTCCATCATGGAAGAAGAAAAAACACGCCGCAACGCCATGGTAGCCACCACCCGCCGTGATATCTCATGCCGAGCTCTATACTCCGTGTTCCCATCTGTGGCGCGCGTACACACGCATACACACGCGCTCTCTTTCTCTCTGTGCCTATCGCATACGCGGCCGCAGAGGCGAGCGTCTATTCATGCCTATTCTCTTCTGGGAAGTCTGTCAACATCTAAATGGGCCGCTTGAACGGATGCGCCTCGGTGTTGAGCACCCAGTCGTCAAGACTGATGACGTCGGGTGTCGAAAATAAGAGATAAAAGTACTTGAGCGTCTCGGCGACCCAAAAGCTCTCCATCTCGTCTACGGTGCTCGGGTCCTTGGACAACACATCGTCAACGGCGCTGTTGCCGTACTCGGTCCGCGTTGCCTTGATGATGGCCTCCCACATCCTCCAACCCTTCTCCTGCCATTCGGGATCGCCAGTGATGCGGTACATGTACCACACGGACTCGATGGCCTCGGGTCTGGTGAGTTGTTAGTTTCGGAACGCTGAATAGCCACTCATGCACATGGGGAGTAATTTACCGAAGGATGTAGCGCCTGGCATTGATGCTGACAAAGCCAGGCGGGATCTTCTCAAGCTCGAGTTTCTCCTTGACGTACTCCTCGTGCGACTGCGGCTTCGGGTCGGCGACCTCTTCCGCCTCCTCGATCCTGATCTTGCCTACGATACCACCGCTGACCGACGCATCCTTGGACCCGCTGTCCGTATCTTCGGCGCTGTTCAAGTCAAGCTTGTTCTTCAGTGAGTTACTGGCAGCATCTTCGGCAGAATCCTGGCGAGGGTCTCGGGACGTGGGTGGGGCGGGATCCCGCTTCTTCAGCAAATGCTCATCGACGTTCGAGGGCGACTTGTTGAGGCCGGGCTCGGGGGCGGGGTACTTGGTCTTCTTGGCCGATCCTAGGTTCTTTGGCTCGTCCTTGGGAACGTGGATGTCCGCGAGCGGGTTCTTCTTCTCCGGCGCATTTTCTTTCTCGATAGACTCCTTAGTGGAGTCGCTGCTGGTCAGGTCGGTCTTGCCTCTTTCTACGGACTGCTTGCGGAGCTCGTCCTGCTGCTGCTGCTGCTGCTGCTGCTGCTTCTTCTTCTTCTTCTTCTCACTCTGTCTCTCCTCCCAAGCCTTGACCTGCGACTGGCGCCAATCAGCCGACGGGTCAAGATGCTTCCACCAAAGGGTCTCATTCCAAGGGCAGCTCTGCGTAGAAGCACAGGGTACGACAGTAGCACCCTCGGGCATAATACCAGAAGGCATCGATTCATACGCCCAGACGCAGCCATCGGCGAGTTTCTTGGCTATTTCGATGTCCTCTGGCCGGTCAAAGATCTTGCCTCCGAGGCCAAACATGCCACCAATAAAGCAGGTGAGATGCGTCACTTCGTATTCGGTCTGTAGATCATTCTCCGGGTCGCCAGATGTCGACACCTTTGCTGAGAAAAGAATATCTCTCTCCTTGGGTACCATGGGCCGATAGAGGAGCCACTTCTTGACAGCCTCAACAGTCTTGATGTGCATCGTCTTGTACTTGGGCTCAAGGCCGCCAAGCACGAGGTATTCCTACGGCAAATCAGTCCGTGTCATAGTTTCATATGTCAAAACAAAACTTACCTTCGGGAAGTACTCATAGGTGGAATCTTGGCTTCCACCCATGCTATATTGCTGGTAGCCCCAGCCACCAGGGGCCAGACCCTGCTTGATGCACTCCCACGAGGACTTGTCCGGCGTGGTGGGAGATGGGCTGCGATCACTGTTACCGGGAGATCTGGACTTTTTCTCGTTCACCTTGAGATCAGGGATAGTCTGCTTCTCGTCGGCGTCATTGGCATTTCCCACCACAGGTTCGCCATCGTCGTCAACCCCAACGGCCCGTTTCGCAAGTAAGCTGACCTCGTCCGGCTCGCGACCGTTACCCGCTGGTTCGTGTCCCTTGGGTTCGCCGAGACGGGCAGCAGCGGCACTAGCACTCGCAGCCGCAGCTTGCTCCTCTTGAAACATGATCGCCTCGGCAGTTCTGTTGCAGCCGGAAGCATCAAGCTGCTCAGGGAAAATGCCGTTGATGGTGGTACCGCGGTTCTGAAGGTCCTCAAAAGCATCGGTGATGCGCGCAATGGCATCGTAATACTTATCCTCGCCGGTTAACTGCGCAAGTCGGGTGAACTCCATGCTCATTGAACCCAGCTCGGCCACACTGACAGTCGTAGCACGGTGCGGCTGGGATGCGTACTGGGGTTGCCAATTGTAGTACAGAATGGGCATGCGGTTGGGCGTGTCGAAAACGCCCATCAAGATCTCGGCGAGCTCGACGGCCTTGTCCAGAAGGAGTTTGTAATCGCCCTCCTTACCGCCACTCACATCGTAGGCGGCAAGCAAACCGCCTAGGTACCTGATGATGGTTTCGAAAACTGGGATATCGCGGCGTGTCGGGCTATAGGTAAAGTCGATGTCCTTGACAGCCTTGGCGGCCGCATCGAATTCCTCTTTCATGCCCATAATCCAAAGAGTGTCGAGACCGTCGACCAGAGTGGCGGCCCAGCCGCAGAAAGGATCGCGGAAGCGGCCGCTGACGGGGGAAAGCTCATCGTGCATCCAGGCAAACTTCCGGTACCCTGCCCAGGAGCGCTCCATTTCAGCCTTGATCAGCGCCAGGCGGCTTTCGCGCTTCTCCTTGGCAGAGTCCGACTCTGGCTTGAACGCGTATTGTACCTTGGGAATGTCCTTGGGTTTACCGGTCGGGAGACGGATAATCTCGTCCGTGGGAACCGGGAAATGCTCGGAGACTTTGTGCCAGTGAATTTGTGAGGTGGATGTCAATTCGCTGTCCAAACGGTCAAGGCCGGGTCGACCGGGAGGATTCTTGGCGTGGATGTCATCTTCGAGGGGTTTCGTCGGTGCTTTGGTGACGTCGGGCTTCTTCGTGGCTTCAACGGCCTCGTTGGGCGCATGAATAGACAGCGTAGGGCCAGACAGCGCCTCGGTAGGAGCGGCAGGCTTCACCTTGTCGGTCTTAATCTGGGGTATCTTGACCGTCGGCCTGGCCGTCTGCTTTTGCGGGTTCTGTTCGGGTTCGTCCTCTTCCTCGTCGTGCGGGTGCTCGTGATCGGGAGGCGGATTATTGTTCAGATGTGTGTTGTCGTTAGTCGTGGGGGGCTTGGCGGGCTCCTTGTTGGCATTTTGGGCCTTCTCGGGATCGCTGGGCTTGATGCTGACAGCGTAGCCTGCTGCATCCCATTCGGGAGTCTTAAAAAACTGGTACAGCATGAAGGCCATAACGAAGGCGATGAGGAGCACATAACGGCTCTTCCGACGGGGCATCATGATGGCGGGCTCGCCGTGGCGAGTCTTTGGAAGCGTGTATTTCGGCAAAGATAGCGATGTCGCGTGCTACAGTGCAGGTAGCGTTGTGCCGTCGATCTGGGGGGGACCGTGGGGGGTCCAGCCAAGTGAAAGAGCAGCAAGGATGATGGCGAACTAATAGGATGTCATCTCTCGGATTGCTAAAATGTTGTCGTTGGAAATGAAGCCACGACAATGTAAAACAAGGTGGCACGGGGGCAAGGAGCGGAAGAATGGGAGGAAGAGGGAAGCCACGGAATCGAAGTCGGCCGGCCAAACAAGAGAGGCAGGCAACAATGCAGAAGAGGGAACGACAACGGTACGTAGAGACTGAATTGGGTGGACGGGTCAGAAGGTCAGGAAGGGGAGGGAAGGTAAAGTAAGAATTGGCGTGATTGGAAGGGCACGGAGCTTGGCCAAGATAATATCTGTACACGAGGTGAGAGGCAAGAGAAACACCTCCTCGGACCCTTAGGTGAGTAGCCAAGGTGGGTACCTAGGTAGAGAGAGAGAGGAAGGCAGGTACTCCGTGTGGCTGCGGCGAATCAGTGAGGGACAAAGGTACCTACCTACTACCTACCTAGGTAGTGAGTAGTGTGGTAGGAAGGACGACTCGAAAGGTTTGGTGTTCCCTTATTGGAGTTGGCTGCTCTGCTTGGTGTACACTACACTACACTCCTCCCTGCATAATGCATTGCCAAAATATCTGTATAGTGTACCGTAGGTAGGTACTAAGTTAGGCGGCCACAAGAATAGGCAGGAGAGTAAAGATACTGACAGACAGAAGTCTACTCTGTACCGAGTACAGTGCCTGCGAACAGAGACACAGGCGTGCGCTCGCCCCAAGACATGAGATCTGAGGGTTCCCTGTATCGGGTTGAAATGGCTGGTCAGGGGTTCAACACGCTTCTCCGACTTTTCTGGGCCCGACTGAAGCGCTTCATCCACGGCCAAGGCCTTTTTACCTACGCTAGGTAGGTACGGTGCCCGCATCGGTCCCGGTTTCTCCTGAGTCCTTTACCATAGCCGGTCCCGTCGGCCGCGGACTGTGTGGGCATGGCCCTTGTCTAAACATCGGCCCTCTATCAAACACGAGCTAGAACTCGCCTCGTTGTCCCTCGGCTCTAAGACCTCAACTCAACGATACTCCCACTTCTAGCCCGTAGCCCCCAATGATATGCAGTTGAAACTCGACTCAGCTCGCGTGCCCCAGTCCCCCCCCCTCAAGAGTTTTTAACCTGCTCTAAACGCCGCGCCAGCTGGAAAGTAGGAACGCACTGTCTCGCCATCTTTCCTTTGTGCCCCAGACACCGCCACCACGCCGCCTGCATCACCCGAAATTAAGAAAAAGGGAGGGGGAAAAACCAACACAGCACGACTACCTCCCGAGGCAGCGGGCCAACGTGATGAACCAATGAATTAAAACAGGGGCGGGAGGACCTTAGTACCCCAACGGCGGGGCAAAAACGAATCCCGATGGGCCTTGTTTTCCCAGGGTAGGTAGTGGAGGGTTCCCTATCGGGCCGTGGTGCAGCCGCCCCGGTGACCCTCTAGGATCGTCTCTGTATCCCTTTGCTTCCGGTGCCAGCTCAGTGGCTGACGCGCAAGTAGGCAGGGACGAGCACTATAATAACAATCAGAGCACTAGTGCTTCCCCAAGCGAAGCTCATCTCGCAATGATATAGTCACCCAACTTTGGCCAAGCCGGCTGCCCTTTGCCTTTTTAACCGGCTACTGGCTTGGCACCAGCAATTTACCTTAGTCCCGCTGAACCTGAGCCCGACAGAGCAGCAAGCTGCATTCGTTGGGTGCATCTCTCTCTCTCTCTCTCTCTTTCTGTCTCTCTTTCTGTCTCTCAGAGCAAATGGAATGAGGGGCTCTCATCTCTGTTAGCTCCTCTCCCCCGCAAAAGTGAACCCATACATACCGCTGGGGGGCTGATGCCACGGCACCGATTCAAGACACGCGGGAACCCACTGGGGTCCGCTGATCAGAAACACCATCCTTTGTAGCCGAAACGCTCGAGCTTCTGTTCGACTTCGGCAGAGCTCCATCGTACATCTGAACAACAAAAAAAAAAAAAAAAAAAAAAAAACCCCGAGAACACCAAAAGCATAATTTCACGGAAAAGTGTCAGGCAGAAAAAAAAGAGCAGGGGGAGAAAGACTACGGAAACAAAGAAGAAGAAAAAAACCTCTTCCGGCATGTGGGACCATGGCCGAGCCCGGCAGTTGCCGCTCCGCGCCGCATTCGCCGACGTGCACACGCGACCCCAATGTGACATGCCAAAAAGGAACGCCCGTGTTCTATTCGTTGGGCCAGTGCGATTCTGGAAGGTGGTGGCGGCCGTCTGGTGATTCAGAGTTGCTTCAACATCGCTCCCCCCCTCCTCCACAAGATTGATTCTGGCCTGCCTCTTTCTTGGATCTCTACTCCTCCCGGGCCTCGGGGGAGGGGGTGACCATTGCCAAGGCGCTGCCACAATGGATTGGTCCTGGCGGCGAGAACCGTCATCTTGACAATGATGTGGCCACGTACCTAACGATCAGGTTGTGCGATTTACTAGTTGACAAGCTGAGAGGTGGTATGGTATACAGGACCAACAAGTCGTCAGTTGCTGTCACAGATAGGAAAGCCGGGGACTTTTACGCCGTCCGTGCGTCCAGCGCTTATGCCGGTTCATTCTCCCCCGTAGTTCGCTACCAGTCGCCGGGCCAAGAACATAAGGATCGCCGCGAGTGCTGGTCCGCAACTTGGTAATTGCGTATTAAAAGAAGGCCTGCACATCAATACCCACGGACAACATGAGAAACAAAACCACCATAGGCCAACTCGTCACAGAAGCAACATGTGTAACAATGCTTACGTTGAGACCGAATCTGATTACCCCCAACTCAATATGATTGTTAGCCCTGGAGCTATTTACCACAGCGAAAGAATAGTACGTCCCGGGTCTTGAGAAAGTTAGGTAGGCCGCTTCATCTCCCAGTAGGTAGCCAATAACCTTTATATAATGTGACCCAAAAAACGAAACCGTTCCGCAAAAATCGTCGAGTACCCAAAGCGTTTCCCTACCGTACGCCGTCGCTGCAAACCTCCAAACGAGCGTCCAAAATACGGTTTTGCTCACGAGATTGGGGTTTTCTTTCCTCCTCAAGAAAGCAAGAAGCGCCGGTAACCATCAACCGCTTGAAATATGTTCCATCTTCCTCTTTCGAGTCATCATCGTATGGTCTTTCCCCTTCTTCGTCTCTCCATCGCTCTCTAGACGTCTTTACCGCGGATCTTTGAGTACAGCTCGGTATCAAAGAAGTTGTAGTTGGGATCCAGCTCGCAGAAGGGATGCTGAGACAGCAGCACATCTGCCGTAGGCCGCTCTAGGGGGTTCCTATCCAAAGGTTAGCAGTGTGGCTTGCGAAAATCACTCTTGCAACAAACTTACACAGTGAAACAGTCCAGCATAAAGGCAATGGCCAGTGGACTGATTGTTTCCCGAACCTCGTCAGGGATGGGCGGCGTCTCGCCATTGGCGATCTTGTAGATGGCGCCCACGGCCTCCTCCTTCGACCAGGGCCGCCGACCAGCGAACATTTCCAGCACAACACACCCCAAGCTCCATATGTCGACCTTGGCACTGTAACCCTTACCCTCCGAACGAATGACCTCGGGCGCCATCCAGAAGACGGAGCCCTGCATCGAGTTTGACTTGTCGTTGCCGTAAATGTTGTCCGTCTTCTTGGAGATGCCGAAATCAGAAATCTTGCAAGTACCGTCGAGATCCAACAAGATGTTGTCGGCCTTCAGATCACGATGCAGGATTCCTTCCCTATGGAGGTACGCCAGACCTGACAGCATCTGTCGCGTGAGCGATGACACAACAGACTCCTCGAATTTGCCGTGCTTCCGCAGACAAGATCCGATACTGCCACCAGAAATGTACTCAAGGAAGATGCTGATGGATGTTTCTTTGCGTTCGCATCCAAGATACTGCACGATGTTGACATGATCAAGGTGCTGCATAGTTTCGATCTCCTGATCAAGGGCGGCTACCAGTTCACGCATCTTGGCCTTGTCTCCCTGCGCCGCCTTCGGGTTGACTTCGACCTCCTTGACGGCCAAGAACTCTCCGGTCGTGGCATTCATACCGAGGTAGACGCGGCCGTAGGTTCCCTTGCCAATGAGCTGACCCTTGAACCATCGGAAGGTTGTTTGACGCTTAGGAATGGTGTCTTGGGGAATCTGGGGCATCACCATGCTGCCGCGCTGGTCCGGACGGATTTGTACAATGTTGGCATTGAACATCTTTGTGCTCTTCCTCCTCATGAGTGCCGACGTGTTCTGAGTGGACTGGCCAGGCTGCGTTGTTGTCGTGGTGAACCGTTTGTTAGCCTCGTGGGCGCCGCGAGCAACCTCACGGATGGACTTCATACGCCCAAGGCCACCCGAGCGTCTAACGCTCCTTTGCGCAACGGACGCGACCGAAGCAGGGCGCTCAAGTGCCTTCAACGTCGACTCGTCCGACCCCAGCGTGTCGTTGTCGTCATTGTAGAACGACCGGTTGCCAGTGATGGCAGTGCGGAGACTCGGCGATGGCTGAGCTGGCGGCGGGGGACGCGCGGGTGTTTCCTTCTCTTCTCCTTCGGCGATGGGTGACGGCGGGTTGGCTTCTGCTTCGCCCTCTTCAAGCACCGGCATGTCAAGGTCCAAGTTCGGGAAGAAGTCGTCGAGGTTGTTGATGAGGGCATCGGTAGTCGGGCGGTTGGCCCAGACATCCTTTTCGACGAATGACTTTCTTCTGCTTAGCTTACTATCCTCCGATTCCCAGCTCTCGGAGCCGGGGGTGTTCGGGGTTCTTCGCGAGCTCTTGCCGCTCTTGGCACTCGTCACATCCTCATCGCCTTCGGGTGTCCCATTCGCGTTGAAACCGCCCAACGACTTGGGAGAGTTGAAAGACACTGAAAGCTGTTTCTTGGATCTTGATGTGTTGACTGTCAGGTTAGGGCGCTTGTCATTGGACTCGTCAGGCGAGTCGTCGCCGTCAAAAATCCGAGTAATCTTGGTTGGTTTGCGAGAAGATATCGGAATGACAAACAAGCCATCATCCGAGTCGTCCCCTGAGTCGTCATCTCGCTGAGGGGCGGGTCTCTCAAAGCTGACGTCCGACTCCAGGAAGTCAAAATCAGGACCATGCGACTTCCGACGATGGGGCTGAGGTGGTGCACTCGGAGGAAATTGTGGTGGGCTGGTGGTGCTGGGGCTTATCTCCCGAGAAGGCACTCTACGTACTGCTGGGGCTGTTTTAGCTGCGATTTCATTCTGAGATCCTTGTTCCAGCATCAGGGTTCCCTCAGGGGAATAGTCCGGTACAAAAAAGGGCAGATTCCCACGGCTCCAAGTGAGAGCGCCGGGGGACCCAGACAATGCCGACTGAGGACTATCTCGCCCCGAAAATGACTTGAAAAAGTCGACGGATGAAATAACTCCCTTACCTCTGTCTGAGTGCTCGCCGCCCAGGGCTGGTTCCGAGGATACTCGGGTTGGCGACTTGGACCTGCGGTTGGTCGTTACGCCAACCGCTCCGAGGCCTCGGCCCATGCCAACGAGTGCTGCGCCGATGCCGGTGCTGTGCTGGCTCGACGTCTTCTTCTTCCTGTCTCCATTATTCTGCCCGGGGAGCTCCATATCCTCGAAAAGAGTGGAGGGTCGTCGAGGCGCAGAAAGTCCATCTGACGACCGCATTGATTGGCCCGACTTCCTGCTCAGTGAGTTGGCCTTGAGCAACGTAGCTGATGGGTCGCTCGGCGGCGCAGGAGGCTTTCGCACGGGGAACAACGCGTCTGGCTTCTTGTCCTCGTACGGTGACTGACGTGGCTGATCAAAGTCGACGGTCCTTCCGTGGATGCCGTACGGCGTAGTCGCGCTCTCCGGCGTGTTGCCGCCAGCTGCTCGTCGTCTCTTCTCGAGATACTCGCGTTGCTTCCGCTCCATCTCCGCACGGTACTCGCTTGCCTCTTGTGCAAGCATCTTGTCGTCTATTCTTTCCCCATTCATGGTGTTCTGTCTCGACGTCGGCGGGGATGAACTAGACCTCATCCTTGACACCCCGTTCAGGCGGTTGTAAGCCTCCTGGTCGAGAGATGATGTGTGAGACTGCGTGGCATTGGGGTTGGCTGTGCCCTGAGGCACAGCGCCAGCAGGGCGAACAAAGAACTTGAGGGATCCTGTAGCATCCGCCCTGTGTTTGCGATTATTGAGCAGTTTCTGGTCGTCAAGGGGGCTGTCGTGGCTCGACTTGCCAAGCTCGGTGAGATAAATCTGAAAAGCTGTGGTGTCCGTCAGACCCAGGTTGCTGCAGATGATTTGACGAAGGTCCGTTGCCGATTCGGCCTCAGTGATGTCGCACATGCGATAGTTGTATCCATCCATGGTAGCCAACACGAAGACTCGGTTCGGCCCAGGACGCCTCGACTTGGCCGCATCCTTCTCGTGCACATCAAAGCTGGAACCAGGTCGAATATCCAGAGATGTCTCACTGTTGTTGCCAAAGCGGGAACCGAACGAGTGAGGCTTGAAGTTGAGTGCCGGAGAGGTCGGCGATTCCAGATCGTCGGGGCTGGGGAAACCGTCCTCCTTCTGCTTCTTCTTTCTCGACAAAAAGCTGAGGAAACTTTTGGAGTCCTTGGCGGAGGAGGGAGGCTCAGTGCCAGCGGAGCGATCTCCGATGGACTCCTGCGGCGATGGACGGCCACCATCCTGACCGTGGCGACGGGACTCGACGTTGTTACGGGTCGCCTGGATGATGTCCGCAATGTTCATGCCGCTGCGTAGCATTTGAGTAGCCTCAGGGGGCACACCGGAGCCGTAGATTGCCGCGCTCGAGGACACAGAGTCTGTGCTGTTCCTCGACCTGTGCCCGAACTTGGTCGAGTGCGGAGAGGCTGACATTTGACCGGCAGAGGAGGGAAACAGAGAAGCACTCTGCGGGTTCGGGCTACCGTTCGGGCTGTCGGTTCGCAGTGGGAGCGGGCGAAACATGCCCTCGCCAGACTCGCTAGCATTGGGGCTGTGTCGACGGGTGCCGTCCACATCGAGTTGCTTCAAGACGTTTCTGTGGTTAGTATCCGAGCTCATAGTATTGTTCAAAGAAGGCATGGTCGTGGATCTGGTCTGCGAGAACCGCCGGCCGCCAAATCCAGGTCCTGGCGCCTTTATCGGCGTCTGCCGTCCATCAGCCTTCGCATGTTCACCCACACGGGTTATCATACTCACGTTGGGGGATTCTGCCATGTCCGACCCAGCGCTAGGCAGGTTGCTGCCGTGGTTGACCGACTCTTTCCGGCCATGCGATGAAACCTTGGACGGGTCGGCCGGCCGGCCGGTCACGATGCTTCTGATGAGGCGTCGCATTCTCTTGCCTTCCTCCCGCTCCCGCGGCTGATCCCATCCGGTTCCGCTGTTTGTGCATTCGACGGCCAACCTGGGGTACACTTGCTGGTGCATCATACCAAAATTCCCTCGGCCGCCATGTGCACTGCTAAGCTCCAGAAAGTGTGCACCGTGCAGGTTCAATCCCTTGAACGTTTCCTGCCAGTCCTTGGAGAACTGGTTTGAGGCGAGCCATAGCAACACTTTTTCCAAAGGCCATTGCGCTGCCAGGTGCGGGTGAATACTTGAAGCCGCTGTCGCATTTGATGTCGTTGACAATCCTCGGCTATGCATGGCCTGGGCATAGAGCCTATCCCTCCCAGACATGTCGTCTTGCGGCGTGGTCATGGCTGTGTCGCCGCTTGTCTGGCTATTTGTAGGCCACGAGCCCTGGGAGGTGGCCGAGAATGTGGCCGAATCGTCGAAACCGCCCAGGCCCGGTATTCCGACACCTTCGCCGTAGGTATCACCCTGTGGTATATACGTTGCAGACATTTGCCCATGATCGTTGGGCGGAGGTGGAGGCGGTATCGATAGTGTAGTGCCTGTCGCGACTTGCGCGTGCAGCTTGGGGTTGTAGGCCTGATGTTGGCTCGGTGGGGGAGGGGGCACGTTGAAGCCGCCGCGGCCATCGTACATGCGTCCGAAGGCGCCGTGCCACGGCGCCTGGCCGGCCATTGCGCTTCCCGGCGGCGGCCCTGGAGGGGGCGGCAGCATCATGCCGCTCCCCCCCGTGGCGCCAGGGGCAGAAGGGAAGCGCGGGGGCGGAGGAGGTATAGACATCATGTTGTTCATCTGGCCCGGGACGGGCGGCGACATGGGAGGAGGCGGCGGAGGGACCTGGAAAGGCCTTGAAGGGTCGGCCGACGAGGCATGTCGCTGGGTGTTTTGATACATTGGCGGCGGTGGAGGAAGCGGGCCAGCTCTGGTAGCTGGCCTCGCGGGTTCGAGCCCGAGTGGAGGAGTGGTCGGGACAGAGCTCGCAGTCGAGGCTCTCGGGCGAAGACCGCCGGCAGAGAGGAAGTTGGACGAGTTTCTCGGACGAGGATAGGGCGATGCGGCAGAGGTGCTGTTTACGGTGGGAGGTAGTGGCCTGGTTGGCGTTGCCGCTGTCGTCGAAGTCCTTGTCGAGTTGTGGCCCGGCAGGTCGTGGACGTTGAAGACGAGGCCGTCAAGATTGTGAATCTCGTCTCTGGACCGTGGCACGGATGGGAATGGAATCAGATTTGCGTCGTGGGTATCAGATCTGGTTGCAGAGCGCTGGCGCGAGTAGCTACTCATGGTATGCCAGGTATGGTTGGGGATGGTAAGGGTACGCGGCACATGGCAGGGGTAATGTGGGCCTTTAGACCGCGGTCATGTCGTGGCTGCGGTGCGGCGGTGGACCTTGCGCCGGATGTTGAATCGTTGGTCCTCGTCGTCGAACTCCAAGAGGAGACAAGCAGATGCCGTGTGTCCACGAACGATTCAATCTTATTTTGGCTATATCGTCAGCGCAAATCTGGATCGTCAACAGGATCCGTCCAGCTGAAGGCGTGGAATGCGGCAAGACGAAAACCAAGACTAGCACCGCCAATTGGAGACTTTGGAGAGAGAGAGAGAGAGAGAGAGAGAGAGAGAGAGAGAGAGAGAGAGAGAGTCTGTGTGAGTGACAGAGAGGGGTATGCAGTAGGTATGCGAATCCAAGGCGGCAGCCGTTCGAGCGTCCTTCGGCTAACGGAATACGGATAGGGAGAAAGAACGAGAGAGACGGACAGAGACAGAGAGTAGCGCGCTTAGAGGGACCTGGTACTGTTCTCTTTGGTCGACTTTGGGGGAGGTTGGAGGCGGCTGGACAGAGGCTGGCGCGAATGGATGGATGGCTTCGGCTTTGGTGTGGCGTGCGACGTGCGTTATCCCGCGCAGCTCTGGCGGGGCGTGCAGAAGCCCGAGCCAATGAAGGCAATGTGATGAAGGGGGGGGCGAAGGAATAGAATCGTCGTTGGTGTGTGTGTGTGTGTCTCCACGGTGTATTAGTATTGGATTAGAATCCAAGTATCCATCCCAGGGTAGTTTAAACTACTTAGTTGGTAGTTGCTATAATAGAAGCCTTGGATCCCGGCATCTGTTTTGGCCATGGGCAGGCGGTCTAAATAAGATTTGAAAATTTGATAACGGGCAATTCAGTGAGGATGATATGGGATGGGATGGAGATGGGATGAGATGAGGTGCCGAGCTCGACTCGAGTGTTGGTCTGTTATTCTAGTTATTCTACCGAGAACGAGGTAGGTATCCGCACTTTGCCAAGGTACTGTACTGCCGTTCCCAGCTGGACACGGCGACGTCGTGCAACCCGACTAAAAAAACAAAGTCGGACAATAGCCATGAACCTACCGTCAACCAACCGTCCCTTGCCTTTCGATTCCTCCGTCTCTTCCTGCCCCTCGACTCGATTTTAGTCTCGCAGACACCAGGTACGGTACAGCCCATGCCTGTCAGTCACTACCTCTATTTATCTACTATGTTTTCAAGACGCCCGAGACATGCAACGCCTCTGCCCACCGTTGCGCGAACCCGACGCAAGGGACCGATTGTTCATTTGGGCCTTGCCGGGGTTCGACACACGCGTACCCACCACACCTAACGCTTCCTTGCCGCGCTTACACGAACAACTCCTCGCTGGTATTTCGAGACGAGGCGATGACGGCTGACTGTTCCTATCAACTTTTGATCGTCTCACTCGAACCACGCTAGGTATGGCTCAGATACTATGGCTCAGATACCCATGTTGGTTGTCTCGGACCGAAAGTGCTGTCGAACAGGAAACGAACCCGGTTGAGACAGTTTCCCCCAACGTGCCGGGCTCCGTCAGGACTCTGCCTGTCTGCTGTCTCTTCCACCCTCCGCCGTCTGTCCAACCAACTCTTTCGCGGCTATCGCGTTAGCGTCCGAAGTCACCGGGCTCTTTCGGCCGGGGTGGGGGGAGGAGGCGGAGGGTAGCTGGTTTGGTGGTGAGAAACCTACACTACACGACTCCATTCCTCCAACGACGGACATCTTGTCTCTAAAACGAACCAGCCGGAATTAAGGCACTCCGATTCGAAAAGCCTATTCCGACAGGGTGATGTAGCCCCAATCCGACCCGCGAACCCCATGGGAGAGGAAACGGCGTGATCAGCGTCATTCACCCGCTACTGAAACAGGACAAACCCACATCGTCGGGCATCAAACGCATACGGATCTTGCATCCCACAGCCCGGAGGCGTTTCTCCAACTCGACAACCAACTCCAAAGTGAGGCCAAGTTGTCATCATAGCGGAGAATGCACACAATCTCTCCCTCCGTCCCCCTCCCCCCCTGTCTCTCTCTCTCTCTCTTACCGACGCAGACCACGTTTCTTCCCATAGCCCACCACGTTCCCCTTCCTCGCCCACCCTGGTCCAATCGTTCTTAAGCAACAGCAATATGCCGACATTTATCTGGACCGGTAAGTAGTATGTACTCATGGACGGCTACGTTACCCCCACGCGGTTATATACCGACGAACAGGGCCGAAGAAGCCATATATCCAAGAGTTCATTGACACGTATCCAAATCGTCAAGGCATGCCGACCGCCAGGAAACGAAGTCATGACCTGCATCAACCGTCTACCGTCCATCGTCCACAATCCCGCGCGCCAAGGGTGCCCGTCCTGGGTGAGACGACGCGGACGAAGGAACTCTACATAGTAAATACCCACCCCCAAACTGTCTCGCAGCTCTGGGGTGCAAGCTCGAGAACGGGGTATGCCTGCGCAACAAGCCCCCGGGCTACTAGGAAGAGATCGGACGACAAAAAAAAGCAAAGAACGATGCACATGGGTACCTGCGCCATGCACCTTACCGACGGCCGCTTTTCATCAGTCGAGACTGCGTCATGAAGCTCATGCAAGCAGGGGGTAAGGGGGCGAGTCGCCCGTCCTCAACGTAATGTGCCTGGTATGCTTTTTTCCATTAACTCTGGCAGCGCCTTCAACTGGCGCCCAACGGTCCCAGAATATATATGAAAATAGCCAAGAAAACAAAATCATGACGCATGTGACGAATGCCATGCTTGCCACAAAAAAAACCCCCCCATCCCGATACTCCACCTCAACATCGTAGGCTACGCGCTCCTGAGCGCTCTATAGTAGACAGACTATGACTCTCTCGCGACGGCTCAAAATACAAGCTTACATGACGCTGCAGTTCGCGTAGTTCTTCTGGCACTGCTCCAGGTACCCAATGTCCTCTTCGGACCCCTCGACGACATTATGCTGCCTCACCAGCCCCGTCACCTTGAGCGTCTGCACCCCGTCGGCGTGCCACCACTTGAGCTTCTGCACCAGTGAGCCCTCCTCGTCGTCCATGCTAATGGACCACTTGCCGGAGCTCACCTCGACCGTGCACCTGTCCTGCGGGTAATGGAACTCGGGCAGGAACACCACCGTCGGCGCAGCCTCCGAGGGGGGCGCCGAGGCCTTGAGCTTGAGCGTGAAGGAGCAGGTGCGCAGGTCGAAGCCGTATTGCAGGACGTCGCCCGCAACAACCCACGGAGATGGCCGAACAAAGGCCTCGGCAGCGCGTAGGCCGGGTACGCTGGTCAGCTCCGGGTCCTTGGATGGCGCTGATGATATCGACGGGTTGGTGATGTTGCTTTGGAGGTTTTGCGGCGTGACTGTTGACTCGTCAGGAACGTCCCTGCTCACGGAGTTGCGCTTCAGCTCCGATGACTGGCTGGGTGACGGGCTGCGGGGGAGGGGCGACATGGGTAGCGTCTTGTCGTCTAGTGAGAAGACTGACAGATCTTCGCCGTTCCAAAGATCGCCGTATCGGTGTGTGTTCTGCCAAGTGAGTTAGTAAGCCTTCGTAGGAAAACATTGGATGATTCGCGTACCTTTGCAACGTAAACCCAGAGGCAATGCCCCTCCATCCCCGACCCTTCGACACCAAAATAGTTGGCGTCCAAGGCCGCTGACTGGTCTGCATAGTCGCCCGTCTTATACGCCTTCTTCTCGCCCATGTCATATGGGATACCGAATTCGGTCATCACGCAGGGATGGTTACCCATGCGGTCCAGACCTTCCTGCCTCAGCGACGCCAACTGGTCTTTGAAGCAGTTGCGGATGGCCGTCTCACCGACCTTGACCGACAGAGCCTCATGCCAGTACCGTCCGCGCAGCACACCGACGACGTCCACATTCCACACCCTGTTCCAGCGTTTCGTCATCAAAGTGATGCCGTCGTACCAATGAGGCGAGAACGCCATCAGCGGATCATCGTCCTCAGTGCCCTTGATCTGAGGCGGCAGCTCCAGCGTCGGGTATTGCATCAGCATAATGCAGTCCTTGTGAATCGGTCGGATAGCGTCTCTGTACAGGCGGTATGATTGCATGAAATAGGTATTAGTGAATTCCGGGTGGTCAATTGTCTTCCCCGTATTGGGGTTCTTCGAGAAGTAGTCCTTCTTGATGAGCGTATCCGTATTGGGGTCCCAAATGCCGTGCTGGGCCCAGACACACTCACCAAGCTTCCAGCCCTCGTCTCGCTTCCAGCCGTATCTCGAGTCGTCATAATCGGCAGGCAGCCAGGCCATCTCGCCATGGGGGTCCACCAGCGAGCGGCCGACCTTGTAGGGGCCCATACCGCCCATATCCCACGTTTCCACCTCGCACGCACGACCAGAGCCGGTAAGGATGCACTGCCAGATGGTGGGACATGAGCCCTTTTTCAACTTTTGGGCGTTCGGGATGACGCTGAGGTCCTGGTATCCGACCAACCCGCAGCCGGGCTCGTTCATGCTCTCCCAACCGATAACGACGTCATTCTCGAGGTCGCCGGCCTCGTGTATACGCTTGGCGAGATGCGCGCACGCCGCCACGAAGTGGCCTTGCAGGAAGTCCTGAATGTTGATGCCGTTGATGATGCACTTGGGTGCAAAGTCCCTGCCGCCAAAGTACATTGTGAAGATGGTGGCGGCAGCGAGGCGCCAGTAGTTGGTCGACCAGATCATCTTGGGAAACTCTTCGGGCTTCGGGTACGTATTATGCACAATGGCGGCCTCGGTCGCAGAGAAGCTCTGGGGGTTCAAGCCGCAAGCGTAGATGGTCCACATCGGCGCGCCAGAGCCACCGCAGAATCTAGACCACTTGGATGGTGTTAGGATGCAATGTGCAACACGAGACGGCTGTGGGTAGCGAAACGTACCACGTCCTGGTGGGGGTCCATGAAGATGTAGAAACCATAGTCTTTGGCTATCCTCAGGATCTCAATTGTATGCTGAATCCATTCCTCGTCATAGCGTCCTGGGCCGGCGGCCTCGATGGCCTCCCACGTAAAGACATAGCGGATAGTGTTGTAGCCGTAGCGCTTTATCCTCGAGAAGTGGACATGAGCCTCCTCTTTGGGAAACGGGCGATTGTGGAACGTGACATTGTCCCCGTCGAAGAAGTCTTCGCCAATGTGGGAAGGCTGGTCGGGTTCGCTGGGGAGCTTGGCGTCGGCGGCGACGTTGAGGCCTCGAAGCACGACTTGTCTTCCATAGCCGTCGCGGAACTGGCCGTCCTCGATGGTCAATCGTAACGAAGACATGGCGGAGAAGGTCTGATTCCAAGGTCGGCGTGCTTCTTCCGTCTTTCGTGTCACGCACTGCCAAGACAAGTAATTGGCGATTTTCGGAAGCGTGCTTAGAGAGGAGAGAAGTCGTTCCAACTTGGAGATAGGAGATGCACGAGACGGCAATGACGGGGCGGCCGCGGCGGACGGGTCACCAAATGTCCGAAAATGAATTGGGACGGTTCGATGACGTCCTGAAGGGGTGGGGGGGGGGGCCTTGATTAATCGGTCGCGTAATGCCAGTGGGAAACAGTGGGCTGGTAGGGGTACCTTATCATACCGGTGCAGCACTTTAGCGACTGCCAAGCACTAACATAACAGGGGTTCTTCGGGGTGCGAGTGAGTGCAAATAAATGCCAACCAGATGTTGGCGATCTTGCAGATGAGACGATCAAGTGGTGGAAGAACAAAATGGATTAAAGACGAAGGAGAAAATAGGACAAATAAGAAGGGAGGAAATTCAAAGGGACAGAAGGAGAATGTGGCTAAGTTCATATACGGCTCTCTGGTCCTCGCCGCCGTTCATCTGAACGCCATGCAGAGGCCGTCATGGCTGGCGAGCGCGGACGTAGATGGGCAATGGCTTGAACGGCACGAAAGTCTGCGTGACTGCACCTGCCACCCATACCTCCGCTCCGCTCGTTTTCGTGTTTGACAACGGAGCCAATCGTCGCCGTTCGCGGGCGACGCTAAGCGGGCTAGGCGGGTTGGTGCCCGTGCCCGTGGCCTCGGCTCTCGCTTGAACTCCGGGTGGAGGCCGCCAAATACCCGGGGATGTGACTGGTGGGGCATTAACTCCCTCATGATCAGAGTGATTGTTGGTTGGGACATTACCTAGGTATCATACACTAGGTAGGTGCCGACCAGGTAACGTACCACACACCCAACCCATACTTGGACGAACCGGCCGTGCAGGAGTTGGTCATGGTGCTCCACGTCACTGAGGCATTGCACTGAGTATGGGATGTCTAGGTGCATCCCTACTTCAATGGCCTTTTCTTGGGTTAAGCGAGCGCCAAAATAGGCTTAATGGCATCTAAAAAGCTGAATACGTCGACGCGGACTGGGCTGCTTATAAGACTCGACCAGTATACGCGAATAGATGTTGAATACGCCCACCTCAAGCATGGGTGCTATCTCGGCCTGACTCTGCGCTGTCTCTGCGTCCTGTCTCCTCCGCATCTCCCATGCGGGCCCTTTCATCGCCTCTAGGCCCCCAGATCAAATCCGTGTACAAACTTGGTTTGGTCGTCTTGCTTCCCAGAAGATACCTCTTGAAGAACCATGGCAGGTACTCCGACACCTGGTGCCCAATGAATCTGCGCTTCGACACTGCAAACACCAAATCAAGATCCTCGAGGCTCCTCCTCTTTGTCTCCTCCAACAACAGAAAAACCATGATAAACGCGAGCATGTTGAGCCCCGCGAAAAGATACAGCGACCCGCCGTCCCCCAACCCAGAGTTGATCCTCGGGAAGAACATGGAAAGCAACCCGGCAAAACCCAGGTTGACGGCGATGGCAAACGCAGCGCCGGCTTCGCGGTGCGACAACGGGAAGCTCTCGGACGCGTAGGTGAACGGGATTGGGCCTAGGCCGGGCGAGTACGTTGCAGCGAACAGTAAGATGAAGAGCGTCAAGACCGCGACCTGGGCGTCACGGTTGCTGATGTGAAACGACACACCCGCGAGCAGCATGAACAACGACATCACCGGCAGCGTCAGCATGAGCCACTTGCGCCGGCCCAGCGTGTCGATGGTCCTGATAGCCGGGAGGCCGAAGACGAAGTTTACCGCGCCGTAGCCCAGGCTGAAGATCATCGAGTCCCGCTTCTCCACGCCGGCGCGGCTGAAGAGCGTGCCTGAGTAAAACGCCAGTACGTTGATACCGCAGAGCTGCTGCGCCAAAGCCAATGTCGAACTGCTGATTAGTGCGTTCCGAAGCCGTCGCCGCAGGAAGAGCTGCTTCCATTGGCGGAAGAAGCCCGTGATGGTGACGACAAAGCCTTGTGCCGACTGAGTTCTCACGTCGCCGCTGGGCAACTCCTCCTGCTCGAGTGACTTGTGGACCAGGTAAATGTCCCGTAGGGCTTGTAACTCGGTGTTTCTCAACTTCCTGAGAATCTCATACGCCCGTCGTGGATTGTAGCTCGGGCTCGACACCCGCATCAAGTACCGCGGGCTTTCGTCGCAGAACCAGATGACAAACACCAGCAGCGCTAGCGCAGGCACCATGGGGGCTGCCACCATCAACTGGAAGGTCAGCCTCTTGTTCGAGTCTGGCGTTGTATCGAAAATCAGGTTGAAGGCGAACCCGACCATCATTCCCGCGGCCACCCACAACTGCCACGCGAGAATGGATGTGCCACGCCAGAAACCCACTGCAGTCTCGCTAGCAAGAATAGGGGTGCTGACGGCTTTGAGACCCATCCCTATTGCCTTTTGTTAATGGTGCTTCTTCTTTAGGAGATCACACTGCGCTCACCAATGCCATTAACCAGACGGATGCCAAAGAGTTGATGCCAGTCCGTGGCAAAGGCCGAGGCAAGAGAGCTGGCGAAGATCAACGACGCCGCAATTATCATGCCTCCCTTGCGACCCAAATAGTGGTTCACAGGAAGTGCCAGGGGGCAGCCCAACGCCGCCGCAAAGAAGAACGGTGACGCATTGGCAGCACCGAGCTTCCAGTCATCGGCTCCTAGCGGAGCTCCTCTGCCGGTCGTGATGCCATCTTCCTTCTTGGCGATTGTGTTGAGACCGAATTGAGTATCGTACAGCGACGAACCGTTAAATGATGCTTGGACGTGGCCTTGTGCTGCGTTAGCACCTCGTCGTCAAGGTGGAAATCGGGTTGTAAATACCCTGCAGAAAGGCTGCTAGTGATACTGTGATAATGATGGTCCACATCCCCTTTTCACTGAACGCAACATCGCGTTCCCGTACAAGTGCTCGTTTTTCCTCTCCGGTCAGCTGGACCGGAAGCTCTCTATTAGCGCTATCGTTCGAGTTTCTGGCAACTTCGTCGTACAGCCTAATGTCTTTAGCTACGCGCGCTGCTCGAAGCAACTCTGCCGTGTCGACGTTCAGATGTTCCTGGGCAAACGACACAACATCTGCTTCCAGTTGCTCGTCCGTATAACCAGCTAGAGCATTGAGTCAGCAAAGAGGGCCGAACGCCAAACACCACCGCCACAAATGAGTATTAATTTGAGGGTGGAGGCCCTTTAGACTCACCAAGAGGATTCTCGATTACTGCTCGTTCGTTTATCCGGCGACGGTGGGCTTGTGTAGCCAGCCGCTCGTCCCCAGAGTGCGACCCATCCTTTGCAAAGGTACCCATTTCATACATGTCGAAGGTTGGATGGACGAGCCAGTGGGGACTGGGTATTGACGAGGGCAGGTCAATATCGATGTGGCATTAAAGGACTCGATATAAGGCTGCGATCGGTTACTAGCCAGGCCCATCCTGGGGATTAGTCCAACTTTTACCGGGTGCTTTATCCATTTAAGGCTCACCATTTGACAATGGACACGAGGCGACACGGGACTGAGGCATAAGAAGTGAGACTCTCGGATCCAGTAGGATCGAGTATTCCGTTCCGCGTCTTTTCAATGCAGGTCTTGCCTGCCGCCCACGCTTTCCTCAGCTGGCAATGCACGAGCAGATAGTAGCAATGCAAGAGGTCGTCAACTGAATCCTTTCGGTGACTGATCGTCGGCATGGTACATTACAAAATGACATGCTTCTCCCTGATTCGGATTGCGGTGAATTCCAAAGGGTTACCGTCTAGGACTGTGGTGGCGGAGCTGATCCTTGCGCCTCCCTTTTGCACTTTGAAGCAGACCCTAAAGAGTCTTGTGTTCTTGGCCGTTGACCACACCACAGAAGTGCTTCTCTTGACCAGCTGAAAGTCCTTGGTTGTCGAGATCCCGGTCATGAGTTTGTCTGGGTGATCACGGTGAGGAAAACATCTCATTCTCACTGCCATTTCCAGATGACAGCCTCGTCTCGGGCACAAACAAGCTAGCCTCCTGAAGCTTCGTTTCCACGTAATCCCGCCATCATTTTGAGGGAAGACGAAGCTGTGCCGCTCCAGGCAGAATTTACAAGGTGGCTTTTCCCAAGCCAATGGCCGTCCTCACCGAGGGCGTTGGCAACTTGGGGCTGGGCATGCAGACTCTTGGCTCTCAGTCGTCATTCCAGAAGTTCACCCTTGGCAGTTGGGATGAAAGTACCGGTACACACCAAACCCCACCTGGGGAAAATACCCCGCGGGGAGCAGTGGATGTGATCGCCTAGGACGGAAACACACCCGCAGATCAACAGGAATCCGATGAGCTAATCATCATTAATGCTTGAGCAACCCCATCATACTGCAAGATGAGGTGGCAGGCAACAGAGTCACACATGCCGGGGTGGCTGCATCTCCTGTGCCCGTAATCATACCGTAGTCCTTCTATGTGGCTATGCCCACCCTCTCCCTTCTCTAGGTACCTACTCAGAGCAGAGACCGGTGTCTCGGCGAACGTGATTAACATGGCTAAGCATCTGTTGATCACGGGGACCGCAGGAGGGATACATCACCAAAATGTAAGGAGGTGAGCATCAGGGTTAAAATGTCTTCGGTCGCTGCTGCTGGCCACCGTTGCCGTTTTCTTGACTGTTGAGGGTTTGTTCGTACAGCGATTCTATCCATCATACCCGTAATATGTACCAAAAGCGACGTCCGAGGACGCCTCTCTTCGATTACTGCGAGATCAACGGACGCGGCTGCGGTTCAGGAGATTGAAATTGGAACTAAATCCAGAACTGAATCTCGAACAGACACCACTATTTCGCGACCGACAAGATGGATCCTCTCTCGATCGCCGCGTTCACAGTTCAAATGGTCGGTATAGCCGGCAAGATCATCGAAGGCACCGGCAAGTTCGTTCAAGAGAGCAAAGCCGTTCATTCGAATATCGACGAGTTTCTCGAAACAATCAGCAACCTGCATGCTGCTCTGCGCAATGTGGCTCGAATCCTGAAGCAGCACCCGTATCAGCTTTCATATGAAAGAGAGCACCATCAAGATATCTTCAGGATCCTCAAATCATGCAAAGTATCGCTTGATAGGTTATGCGCAGAGTTGCCCGAACTGGCGAAGAACCCAGGGCCGATCGACAAAGCTCGGGCGAGTTTTGCTATGACCCTGAAGTCAAATGTCATCCGAGACTCTGTTTCACATATAACATCTTACACCCAAGTTCTTCAACTCAGTTTGATAACTCTGTCACTGTGAGCCAAATTTCATTTACAGTTCTATGGTTAAGCCAAGTACTGACAAAAGCCAGAGGCTCATTATGGACCCAGCAAAAGTCACAGGACCAGGTGCATGCCGAAATCAGGAAGCTTACCGACGCTATCCGGTCTACGAACCTCATCTCTCAAGTTGGCACTACCCAGAGACGTTTTTCAACCGAGTGGGACGATGACACCGAGACCAGAGTAAACGACTCGGTGTCGGTGACAAAAGAGATTCAGGCTTGGCGATTGTCTGCAGATGAAGTTGCCGCTGCGGTCACTCTCCAAGATGCGGACCATAGCAAGTCAATTTTGTCCTTCAGCCCGTCGTTCTCCAATCTGTCTCTGAACAACGACCTTGTATCACAACCGGCGCCGCTCGGAAGCGTTGACTCTGATGATTGGGATCCCGAGCCCGATCACCCAGACGGTCCAAGCAAAGATATATTACGCCATCAATTCGACGCAAACCAGGAAATAGTTGATCGTCTAGTGAGCTGCGGCATCTTTCTCCGAGCGTCGCTTTACCAGAAGAGGGGCATCGAAATACGAGAACAGCTGAGCCAGCCCGGCTATGACCTCCAGTTCAGCTTCGCCGAGAAAGCTGTCATGAAAGAAAGACTGGCTGACATTCTGTTGCGAAGCGAGACGGAAGAAGAGACCGTTGAAGCGAAGACCATCCTGCAAAGGCTACTGGAAGAAGAAGTCAAGCAACCCGAGGAGTTCAAGGATGTCGAGCGCCGCAGCCGCCTGTATCATAACCTCGGATGCCTTTATATCAAGCTCGGCAACCTGAAGCAGGCGAAGACCTTCCTCAGTCGAGCTCTTGAAGGTCGAAAGAACCAGAAACCTATGCCAGTCCACTCGGTACAAGACACGGCTGACCTATACATCAAAGCACTGAAACTCGACGGGGCGTTTGATGAAGCAGGCGGAGTGGAAGTTTGGGTCAACAATGTAATTATACCCTTGGCGAGCCGACCAGCATCGCCACCAGATTCAGAACTCATAGGAGGCCTCAGAAGACCGTCGTCCATGGGGGAGCTTTCTCAAGCCTTTGCCTGGTGCCGAGAGAACGGTTTCGACGTCGACATGCCCGGCGGTTTCCGATTCGATACTTGTGATTTCGTGACGCGGACATCGCCACTGCACAAAGCGATCCAGGACGAAAATATCGAAGTCCTAAGACAGATGATGGGGCATGTTGCCAGCCTTGAGACTGGAGGAGATCTTGGTGTCCCGACGCCATTGCTACTCGCAGCGTCAACCAAGAACCGTGATATCGTCGGTTTGTTATTGCGGAGCGGTGCTCGTGTCAATGTACGCGATAGCGCAGGGCTCAGTCCGCTCCACAGGTGTCAAAGCAAGTACGGCGGCGTCAATGTAGCCAAGCTCCTGCTTGACGACACCCCTATTTTGCTGGACACCGTCGACAACTCGGGCAAAACAGCGCTGTTCATGGCTTGCGAGATGGGGAACGAGAAGATGGTTCACTTCCTCCTAGAACAAGGAGCCAACCCCAACATCTGCCAAAAAACCAGAAGAGGGTCTACGTTGTCTCCCTACTTGGGTGGCACCAACGTATGCACCCCGTTGATTGCCGCGATTCAGGTGGTGGCAACAAAAAGCTCACGCAAGATTGGGATTATAGAAGACTTGCTATGCCATGAAGCGGACCCTCATCTCACTGATGCCAACGGTAGAAATGCGTTTCAAGCAGCCAACAACTCGGGGCTGGCAGGGTCGGAAATCAAGCGACTCCTTCAAGAGCATGGCTCGTCATCATCCAGGAGGTCGAGTGATACGTCTTCTTCGGCGACAATCTTCACCAGGTCGTCTAACTCAAGTGACAACATCCCGTCTACATCTGCCCGGAGGGTTAATCTCATGAGATTTTGGAGCAGATCTGAATCAACGCAATCGGGGATCGAGACGGTTCCGGAGCGAGAGTAAACGAATAAGGTGGTGATTCAAGATGGTGTGCCGACCAATGTTTCTGCTTTCAGATACCCTTGATAAAGATACTTACTTGATTTTTACAACGCATTGCATTGAGACGAAAAAAAGAAGAGAAATATAAACCCATATCGGTTGAAGTTGCTGCACGTCGTATTGGCGTAGACTTAGGTCGGATATTGTGTACTGTAGCTAGACTTCTTATCTTATCACAATACTGGTTTAGCTGCATTGCTCGAAGTGGGGCATGATGTAATAAGGGAGGTTCTGGGGGCGCTGCCCTCTTAGCGCTCACCAAACAGACAGCTCATGCCTCACTGAGCTCATTCTCACCTCCCATACAAACGGCTACCACACGGAAAGGAGCCTACCGAATTTTGCATTGCACAACTCCAGCACCAAATATCTGGAATTCTCTGCGAGGCATTCAAACACTCTGTTTCCTTATTTCTGGCTTCTTCAGCCCGCCGTTCTTTTTCCTTCCGTACCTACGACGGTGATGCCCCACCACCGGAAGGAGACCTGACTTTCATGATTCACGACCCTAGCCACGCGACAAAATGACAGGTTCCAAGGCTGCTCTCAAGGCCATTGGCGATTCTGTAAAGCAGCAAAAATGGGACGATGCCATTCAGAAGGCAACAGAATTTCTTGACAAAGAGCCCAAGAATTATCAAGCGTACAGAAACAGTATTTTCCTCATCCCCCCATTGATGAGGTTGCTGACACGTCTCACAGAACAATTTTCCTGGCCTTTGCACTTGACAAGAAGAATCGTGTCGATGAATCCGAGAAGGCATACAAGTCAGCTTCATTGCTGCGGCCGAAGGATAGCCAAGCATGGCAGGGCCTCATCAAGCTCTATGAGAAGCAGGATCGCAAGCGCCTGAGCGCATATCAACAAGCTGCCATCAGCCTGGCCGAGATCTACCGGGATGCTGAAGACATGTACAAGTGCCAGGATGTTATCGACAAGTTCATTGACTTTGCGAGATCCCAAGGTGATACCCCGCAATATGTCGAAGCTCTTAGCGTCATCCTTCCTGGGAGTCCTATATATCCCGCTCTCGAGGGCCGCGTCCCGCATCCGGCCAAGACCTACGAAACTATGGCACAAATCATTGAGGCTTACGAGAAGAAGAGAATCAACACTCTCATAGGCGAGCGTCGGACAAGAATCGGCGCACGGCTGAACGAGGTTACCCTCGAGGTCAAGCGTGAAGTCATGGGCCAGAGCAAGCTTGAATTCGTTTACCAGCAGCTGATCAACTGGACGAATGATGATGAACTTCGGCGCAGGTACGAGGAGAAGCTCCTTCAGTACTGCTACGAACGTCTACTAGTAGCGCCCCCCGGCCCGGAGAAAGGCGCGGCCCTTCAAGCCGTGTTGAAACTGGCCCTCGACATGGTCATCATCAAGCATCCCTTCAGACTGGCCTGGGAGATTGCCATCGATTGGAAGGATGCAAAGGATATCAAAGATTGGGATGTGAACATGTTGAGAGACTACTGCACATTCTTCCCCGAGACCGATCTCTATAAAGTCATCACTGGCTTCCTGACAAGCAGCATCTCACCCTTCCCCAAACCGACGCCAGCGGTACTGGAAGCAGAAGACACCGAAGAGGAGAGCGAGGACGACGAGGGGGGTGGCGTTTCCATGATACCGCTGACGGAACAGGATAGAATCCTGATGATGACCGAAGGTATCACCACGTCCAACTCAATCTTCGCCCACCGCTTGATGGGAGAGTATTACCAGCATCTGGAGGAGTACGAGGTCACCGTTGAGTTAATGCGCAAATCGATGGATATACTCAAGACGGAAAGGATCAAGACTGGCATGACCTTTCAGAACACACACGACGCTTACTCCTTGTACCTTGCCACGGCCCTGGTCTTCTTCCAGTCCCCTCGACACCACACCGAGGCGAAATCGCTTTTCGAGGGAGTCCTCAGCCATGACCCGTCATCTACTGCGGCACTGATTGGTGTTGGGCTTATTTATGAAGAGGAAGAAGATTATGACGATGCCATCGACTTCTTCGAGCGAGCCCTGAAACGAGATCCCTCCAACCTTCGGGTGAGGACAGAAGCTGCGTGGGTCCAGGCTCTGAAGGAAGATTACGAAACGGCTAAGACGCAATTAGAGGACTCTTTGCCCCTCATCGAGAAGATGTCACCGCCTGCCAAAGAGCTTCTCGCGCAAACACAGTACCGGCTAGGGTACTGCATCTGGAACCTCGATACATCAAAGGCAGCCCGCAAGAGCCGTACAGGTGCTTACGCGTATTTCTTGGATGCGCTGAAAAACAACCTCAGCTTCGCGCCAGCCTACACCAGCCTGGGCATCTACTACGCAGACTATGCCAAAGATAAGAAGAGAGCACGACGATGCTTTCAGAAGGCTGTCGAACTCTCATCCTCTGAGGTTGAAGCCGCCAAACGCCTTGCGCAATCCTTCGCGGACGAAGGCGACTGGGACCGGGTGGAGCTTGTGGCCCAACGTGTGGTTGATTCGGGCAAAGTTAGGCCACCCCCGGGCTCGAAGAGAAAGGGCATCAGCTGGCCATTCTCTGCGCTTGGCGTCGCGGAGCTGAATAAGCAGGATTTCCACAAGTCTATTGTTTCTTTTCAATCGGCTTTGAGAATCCACCCAGAGGATTACCACTCCTGGGTCGGCTTGGGCGAGAGCTACTACTCCTCGGGTCGGTACGTTGCGGCGACGAAGGCTATTCTTAACGCGCAAAAGCTCGAGGAGACGATACCTGCAGAGACACTCGGCGACACATGGTTCACCAAGTATATGCTTGCTAATGTCAAGCGTGAGCTGGCTGAGTTTGACGAAGCCATCGCGCTCTACCAAAATGTCATCGATGGTCGGCCCGACGAGGATGGAGTTGCGATTGCTTTGATGCAGACCCTGGTCGACAATGCGTTGGATTGTGTCGAAAAGGGTCTTTTCGGCAAGGCGGTGCATCTAGCCATTGATACCATCGACTTTGCCTCAAAGGCAGCCACCAGTGTCATCGAAACTTTCAACTTCTGGAAGTCGCTTGCCGACGCTTGTTGTGTCTTCTCCGCCGTTCAGAACCGAGCAATCGACTTCCCGGCAGAACCAATCATGACGCTCATTGACAGCGGCGATAAGGAGGCCTACACTCTCTTTGCGGATATCGACAAGGTCGGCACTGGTGTCATTTCCGCAAAGGGCCTGTTCTCTGAAGACGAGAGGCTCGGCGTTGACTTGACAAGATGTATCCATGCAACAATCCTGTGTCACAAGCGTGCCATTAATGTATCAGCCAACGACATCCATGCTCAGGCAGTTGCCTACTACAACTTGGGATGGGCAGAGCACCGAGCCCATACCTGCTTGCCTTCGAGCATCAGGAAGAAGTCCAGCGTGTACTTGAAAACTGCCATGAAGTGTTTCAAGAGAGCCATCGAGCTTGAAGCCGGAAATGCCGACTTTTGGAACTCACTGGGTGTTGTGACGAGCGAAGTTAACCCTGCTGTGTCACAGCACTCATTCGCTCGAAGCCTCTACCTGAACGAGAGAAACCCAGCAGCCTGGACCAACCTTGGAACCTTGGCTCTCCTGCAAAATGACATGCAACTTGCTAATGAGGCGTTCAATCGGGCGCAGTCAACGGATCCCGACTATGCGCATGCCTGGCTTGGTCAAGGTTTCGTGGCTCTCCTCTACGGGAAGACGAAGGAAGCAAGAGGCTTGTTCACACACGCCATGGAGATCGCCGAGGCCTCTTCCGTCCTCACTAGACGCCAGTACTCGGTTGCTGTGTTCGACCATATTTTAACGACGACATCCACCAACGTGGCGTCCCTTATCCAGCCGATCTTTGCGCTTGGTCAGCTCAACAACCTGAAGCCCCAAGACTTGGCATATGGACATCTGGCGGCGCAGTTTCTCGAGCGAACGCATGATACCGCAAAGGCAGTACAAATTCTGGAGAAGATCTGTCGCATCTTGGAAGCCGAATACGAGGTCACGGAATCACCGCAGGCACTGGCCCAGTTCGCGCTGGCCAAGACCGATATGGCAAGATCGTACTTGACGTCCGGTGCTTACGAGAAGGCCATTGATTGCGGCGAGATGGCGATACAGCTGAGCAACGATGAGTCCGACAACGAGTTGACCAGGGAGCAGCGCAAGAAGGCCCGCCTCTCTGCCCACATTACGGTCGGTTTGGCGCAGTACTACAGCGGAGACGTCGACGAGGCGCTTCTCTGCTTTGAGTCGGCGCTCGAGGAATCTGACAACAACCCCGACGCCGTCTGCCTCCTCGCGCAGGTCCTCTGGGCTACGGGCGCAGACGAATCTCGCGAGAAGGCTCGCGGCGCTCTCTTCGAGGTGATCGAGAAGCGGCCCGACCACGTCCAGTCCGTCCTACTGCTCGGGGTCATTGCCGTTCTCGACAACGATGAAGAGTCTGTGGAGGCGGTTGTGGCCGAGCTTCAAGGCCTCCGAACCAGCCACAAGGTTGGGGATATGGAACAGGCACACATTGGAGAGGTGCTGGGAGCGATTGCGAGGCTCGTGGAGACGAGCACGGATGAGGATGTCATGACCCAGATCCAGACAGACATCATGTTGTACCCTCACTTGCCTCACGGCTGGTCTAACCTAGCCGAGTTCGGTGGAGAGCCGCATGCTGCCGAGATGGCATTGACGGTGGCAAAGAAGGGAGCGCCGCCTAGAGGAACACTCGAGGCCGAGGATCTGGCCAAGGCATATGCGGGTACAGGAGCTGCTGCGGATGCCCAGACGGCCATTTTCTTGTCCCCCTGGATGGTTGACGGATGGAACTCCTTGCGGGAAGCTGTCCATGGTAACTAAAGCCTGCAAATATTAGGGTCTTGGATCAACATCTGGAGCGTCGAAGTACGTGTACCGGCCCCAGACCTATCTCGTGGCAAGAAAAGCCTCAATATCTTTGTCGAGGGAGCTGGTCCTTCCCTTTTAGAAACCTAAGTTCTAGATGAAAAAAACGAAAGACAGCACATACTGCTGATTTCTTGTCAACGAGGGACCAATGGTATCAATGCCAAACTCCGAGTAATGCTACGATGTTTGCCCTTCTGTCCGGACTTATTGTTCTCGTTCACCTTCTACAGCCTGCTTTAGCCTCGCCATTCTCCCCTCAACCCAAGCTTTCTGCCAGGCGTCAATCCTCCCACCAAGCAACACGCACTTGTCCGGTTCAAGCAGCACTGTGCCCCTCGCGATGACAGTACCCTTTTTGAGCATGACCTTCTCGCCAATGTTGGTGCTTCCGATGCCGATCCTTTCGATGCGTCGGAGCTCCATTGCATATACCTTTTGCCCTTTGTAGTCTTGCAATACGAGTCTATGCGTTGCGTTTCGTCGCTGCTGCTGCACTTGCTGAGTTGCCATTCCTCCGCGACCGGTAGCGGGTGCGGAGCTATCGTCGATGTTATCATACTCGGCCTCTTCAGTCGCAGCTAGCCTCACGACCCTCCGGCCTGTCGTCTGCTCGCCCCTCGCCACCGCCTCGAGCTCCTCGACCTGCTCCCAGCGGGAGAGGCTCAGGTTCTCGACATCGAGGACCTGGCATGGGACGTCGTTCTGTAAGATAGCCTCGGGTGTCTCGGGACTTGTCGTAGGAAGTGAAGTGGTGGATGAGGGTTCAAGGAGACCCGCCGTCGTGAGGTCTGAGGCGAGAAGGCGTGCCTTTGCGGTCGCGATGAGAGAAGGGAGAGGAGGAGTAGGGATGCGGGAGGTCAGGGTTGTCGTCCAGGGGGCCGAAGGTGTCGGGAAGCTTTGAGTTTTTAGAGCGGAGCAAATTTGGGCTGTCAAGTCCATCGCGTAAGGATTTGGGGGTGCAGTTCACATTGTAGGGAGTGTGTTTTGTGCGTCGTAAAGTGCAAAGACTTGTGGAAGCTGGATATAGCTTCAGTGGGGTATCTACCCCAAAGTCTTGGGAGCATCAACCCCACTGTAGATCCCCGAAATTAGCATGGGCCACTCACTTACTTTATGGTAGGTAGGTAGCGCGGCCTCGCTGCACAGGCAGAGTCCAGGGGTAACCCCCACAGGAGCTTTTTCTGACCTATCGCCTGCATCCCCGTCATCCCTTGACTCCAGCCTTGTTTCTTCCGATCTGTCACTATCGCGAGCTTTATTCAATTGACTTGGGCATCCCGAATCTGACGACGGAGCCAACTGTTCAAAGATAGTGGCACCTCCTCCCGCCAAAATGTCTACCATTGCCTCACCCCGCGAACCGTCGCTCGTCCGCCGCGTCTCGGCACAACAGCACACTCCGACGTCCTCGACTAGACCCTCCCTCGATGTCCCGCGCTCCCTAACTAGCTCGCCGAATCCAGGGTCCGCTGCTGCATTTGCTAATGGCCCCGGAGGACCGCCAGCAGTAGGTTCCTCGAAGCGCGCGAACCGGGCCGCCCTCCGCGAGTACTACAACCTTAAGAAGACGGCGGGTGGCGGTGCTCCCTCGCTCGAGGTGACCGAGGACGCATCCGACCGCGGAGGCTTTGCGGAACACTCCGAAGTCCCGCCCAGCGAGCTAGACAGCCCATCATTCGACGCCGATGCGTACGTGCGGAAGGCGCTGGCGGAAAATTCGCTCGATGATCTATTGCGGGTATACACGCGGGTGCTGGGGGAGATCCGGGCGCTTGATGCGGAGAAGAAGGCATTGGTTTATGACAACTATTCGAAGCTCATCTCCGCGACAGAAACGATCAGAAAGGTGAGTACCGGGCTCCACACGTATTTTATTGGGAAAGGCGGGTTGCTGAGACCGGGGACCGACAGATGCGTGCGAACATGGACCCTTTGAACCCTATGGCCTCGACACTCGACCCGGCGATCGCGGGAATCTACGCCCAGGCCAGCTCGATCCGCGATTCTCTGCGCAAGACCGTCGCGCCGCCTGATTCTGAGCAGCGGGAGGATGAGGCGGCTGCGGCGAGGCGGCGGAGGACAAGGCAGCTCGCCAGGGAGGTGCTGGGCACGCCGGAGAAGCTGAGGATGCTAATGGCGCAGGGCAAGGTTGAAGAGGCGAAAAAGGAGTGGGAGATGCCGCGGCGGCTACTAGAGGTTTGGAAGGAGAAGGGGGTTGGTGGGAAAGACGTGGCAGAGTGTCTCGAGGAGGGTGATGCGGCGATCAGAGGAGGCACAGGAGAGAGCAGCATGCTGACATCCAAGGATAGTCGCAGCTCTTGAAAGCTGTTTTTTTCATATTTCTGATTTGAGAGTTGCGGCATACATAGCGAGGGTGTTTATGGCGTTAAGAGGGTCTGATCTGAGAGTTCACGGATCCAAACACGGAACATTTTCATGACTCCAAAATTGGAGGCTGAGCGAACCAAGTCAATTAACATTACCATATCTGCAGTGATTACCGGTCACTTCGGTTCAGTATCATGAGACTCGAGGCTTGTAGGAACGTACTGCCTATCGTCATGCATGAGGTCCAGACAAGGCCTGATTATAACCTTGAACTTTTCGAAAGGCACGCAAAAGGAGCCAGGAATGATTCAACCCATTGAGACGGGTTTCTTTTTTTTTTTCATCTAGTTCGCTTAAAGATTACTGGCTAGGGCGTGTCTTCAGCGGCATGCCAGCCTTTTTTTCGGGAGATATTTCGTGAGCGGTCTCCAAGTCTTTGAACTTATAACTCAGAGATGTCCACAATGTTAAAGGGATCTCGATCGGCCTCACTGACGAGGACTTGAACACCGGCCTCCTTGCCCTTCAGCTCTCCCTCCAACAGCGGCTTCATCACCTCCGTGAGGTACCCTCTTTCCGAGTTGCTGTGGAACACCGTGATGACCGTCTTGCCTTCCTGTACGGCTTTAAGCGCGTTGTGGTGGGTCATCTCGCCCGTCACAATCACCTCTGCCGCGGCGTTCTTGACGACGTCCCACCCACTACCCGCGCACACGGCCACGGCGCCGACGCGCACCGTCGAGAGGCGAGCCGGGTCCGGAGAGGCGACCATGACGCGGCGCATGCCGACGCGCGAGGCAACACGGCAGATGATGTCGGCGAGGGATTCCGGCTGGTGGAAAGTGCAGAGAAGACCGTAGCCCGAGCCCTCGAAGCCTGCGGGCGCCGGGGACGAGAGCGGGTTAATGACGGTGCGGGTGGTGGGAGTGGCCGTGGACGAGGAAGCGGGGCCGTCGGAGACGATGTCGCCGAGCCAGCTGTTGAGGCCGTTAGGCGCGGCATCGACGGCGGTGTGGGGACAGTAGACTGCGATGCCGTTGGCGGCGAGGAGCAGGAGGGTTGCTTGCTGCGGGTCCTTTGTTGTGATGGACTTCAGGCCGGAGAAGATGAAGGGGTCTGAAGAGCGTGTTAAATCGGAATGGCGAGTTTTGAGACGTTTCAAAACCTACGGTAGCTCACAATGACGCTGGCGTTCTTCTGGATGGCTTCCTCAGCGACGGCGTAGGTGAGGTCGTTGGTGAGGAGTACGACTGGGTTCTTGGCCACACGCGTCTCGAGGACCTCGATGTTGCCAAGTAGAAGGCCGACATTGTCCCATCTTCTATCAGCGAGCTCCTCGGGGTAACTGGGCAAGATGTCAATACAAATTTGCTCGTAGGGCGGGGAGAGGATCGTGAGGCTTACTGCTTGCGCATGGCATCCACCACCAGCGAGGTGAAGCCCGGGGAGGCGTACTTATCGATGGCCGCCATTTTTGGAGCTGTGGGCTGGGGCAGGTGGAGGCGAGAAGCTGTGTTAAAACGAGCTTTGAGGGCTGAATGTCGCGTTGGGGGGTAAAATGGCCGAATCCGAGATGTAAGTGCGGCTCCGCAAGCTCGTCGACTTATATGTGTTGACGCCCTTGTAAACTTGGTGCTCATGTAATGGACGGCTGTGCTAGTGCCAGTGAGCATTGCGTCTCATGGATTTCATGCATGGAGTCCCCAAGACGCACTCTTTTCAATCGAGTTCAGCCAGGCTCCAAAGGCTCAATCTGGAAGAATGAAAGCTTGGTCGTCTGGGGTGTTTTTTAGAAACTCAAGCTCTTCGTTGCTTAAAATATCTAATAGGTGCATATTGAGATTTCCCCCCCTCACGTCGGTTGTATGACATAAGCCCCGCAATGACACATACCTCCACTTCCAAGTCATGTCTCGATACCCGCCTACCTAACTTTTGGTCTGGGTTTACCTCCTGTTTGTCGAGCAGGAATGTAACGCTCGCGTCCTTTACTCGCATAGTTACTATTGAGAACACGTAACATGATTGCGCCGTGGTAAGATATGAGAACCCGGTTGTCTCTCGATAGAATGCACAAACCTGACACTGGACGAGGTGGGTAGAATGAAAAATAGTTTTCTTAGAAATAAGACATCAAAAATGGCGTAGGGAAATCATCTAATACATCCGATATGGTGTAGTGGCCAACATGATGCCCTCTCATCTCTATGAGAGGTTAGGCATAGCCCCGAGTTCGATTCTCGGTTTCGGAACAATTTTTTGCCTCTCCTTCCCTTTTTCTAAGGGATGATCATGTCCGCAGTCTGGTCCTCTATCAGCGGACAACTTTTTATTCCTTATTCATAGGTGTTGGTTATTGTATACTTTGCTTTCTCTCTAATTCCGATTTCATCAACGCATATTTAACAAATATCAGAAACAAAATCCAGCTCAACTCTTGCTATCTCAAGGTAATATCCTTGCGCGGCCTGCTATGATCATGACATTACTTACGGCGCTTATCGCGTTAGAATTGCGCGGTCTGGAGATGTGACCGCGGGAGCGGCTGTATGTGGGTGTGCATTGAGGATGGATGGATGGTGTCGATAGGTAATGGTAGTTTTTTTTGAAAAGGGTTGGAAAACGCACGAGAGCAATTTGCAAACTCATTCTTTGTATGCCAAGCAACCAATCTTTGGGTCGGTTACCTGAAATGCCATCCAACAGCTACGCTCCTGTGGTGGGAGCTGATTATTCGCATCGACATTGTCAGAGATTTGTTGTCCTCCCCGCGTATTTATTCGTAATGCATGTATGTATTATTGTTGTTTTTTCGTATTCTTTTGTGGCCCTTGAAAGATCTCTGAAAGCCAATGCATGTCCTATACATGGATATTTCTGTGTCTTTGCTGCAGACAGTGAGCCCAACAATCAAGCCGTGGAGCAAGCCACTGAACGGAGCCCGATGACGGAACTGCAGGAACCCCACCATCTAATCAATCTAATCACTGTACAGCCCACTACCGCCACAGCAGAACCTAAGCCCCTCCGATTTTCGACATCGCCTCCGGCACCCGGTCGTCGCAAAGCACATCCGTCAAGCGCAAACAACATACATAGTCAAATCTCTCTCGTGCAATGGCAAACCAGATAACGGAAGCCTCTCTGAAGGCTGTCTTGACCGAACGCCTCCAGGCAACTCACGTCGAGGTCACAGACATGTCTGGTACGCGTCCCCTCCCTTCCAAGACATCGTAACCCCACGTCATGCCCCGCCGTATTAGAAACACAAGTCATCCTGCCGGCGCACCGCGCAGCGCATGCATCGCGACTCTTCTGCCACCTATCCTACGTCCATATACATATACATATTCATCCTAGAGACTGACATTTTTGTCGTCCTTCCTAGGCGGCTGTGGCCAAGCCTTCACCTCCACGATCGTCTCCCCCGTTTTCGAGAAGCAAACCTCGCTCAAGCGTCACCGCCTTGTCAACGCCGCCCTCAAAGACGAGATTGCGCAGATCCACGCTTGGAGCGCAAAGTGCCAGACCCCCGCCGAGTGGGAACGTGACAGGGCCGCCGCCGGCGGCGTCAACGACGGCCCCCCGATGGATGGGACCGTTGGTGGAAAGGTCGAGGGCGTTGCGCAGTAGGCGGACCGATACAGAGAAAAGGAGTCAGAGTGAGGTCTCTAAGCCTCAGTTACACGTGAGAAGGACGTAGGATACCCATGCCAGAATGCACGAGTCAAAACGCTGGATACGAATCGAGTCAAGGATATGAGGCATCTTGGAGGACGGCGCCATGGGTGTTTGGGCTAGACACCCCCTTTTCGAGTATATACATTTGGTCTGGCGAAAAATAGAAAAATTGAAGCAGGCTTTTCATGGCTTCGTTCTTGTCATATATCAACCTACTCCTAACAGCATGCTTGGACTTCCAGAGAACAAGCCCCCATTAGTCACTGATCTAGAAGAGCCCCAACAAGTCCTCATTCGTCTTCTTCCCGTTTCCTTCGCTCGGCTGTTGTGCTTGTGGGGTTGGATGTAATTGCATGGCAGCCGGCAGGGGCTGGCCCGATCCGGTGTTCCCAAAATCAAGCCCGGAGAAACCATTCATCATGTCATCCATGCCACTGCCGCCTGCACCAGAGCTCATTGGGTTAGCCATTGCCTGCTGTTGCTGCGGCGGTGGAGGGGCGTCGAAGAGACCCATCATATCAGCCATAGCACTAGAAGGAGCACCTCCCGAGGGGCTAGATACTCGGTCTGGAGTGTGGACATTGCTCTGCTGCTCAGCCGACGCAGGAGCGGCGCCATCGAAGTCGATGTCGAGAAGGTTTTCGATGTTGTTTTGTGACGAGGTAGTGCCGTTGGCTGCGGCCGCCACCGACGCTGCAATTGGATTTTCGGCTGCTTCCTGTCGTTGCTCGCGGATGGCTGCACGTTGGATCTCGTCTGCTCCGTAGCGGCCCTTGCCAACAAAGGATTCTGGCGGCTTGTGGTACACTGAAGCAAGAGTGGAAAGCTCTGCGAGTAGTTGCTCAAGTAGCGCTGGCGGAAGGCTGGTCATGGTTGTAGCAATGGCAGGCTTCTGCGACAGCACGATATTCTTGGCAATGTCCAAGTCGCCTGACAGAAGGCGCCAGTAGACGTAAGCTCTATCTCTAATATCTGGATTGTCGTTGTCTGTTGTGGCCTGTTGGAGGACCTTTTGGACTAGGCTTTGAGTGTTGCTAGGCTTCTTGAGGAAGAGCTTGACAACTGCGGTAAGGATTTGAAGTTGCGTCTATATCATGTTAGCTAGCCCTTCAAGCGTATAGGGGATGCTTGACAAACCTGTGTGAACTCTTCCATAAAACCGTCCACGAAACTGGCCAGAATATCGTCTGCATTATTGATCTTCTCGGCGTACTCTCCCACAATCCAGATCAATGATCCCCTAGCAGTCGGCTCATCCAGCTCATCGATATACTTGCAAAGTGTCGGAATGACGCCCTCGTAACCGGGGTACTTTCGAAGGATATCTTTAATTACCACAACCACTTCCTGAACAACGTAGTTGACCTTCGTAGCGATCAAGTCAAGCAGCGCATTCACACACTTTTGGCTAGCACTCTCGAGCTTGATTGCTACTTGGCCAATCGCCTTGACTGCACGCTTGACGAAGTCCATATCGACTTCGAGAGCGTATTCTTTCAGTTCCGCAAGAAGCTGGTCAAAGTTCTTCTCGTTGGCTATCCGCACCATAATCTCGAGCTTCTGGAGCTTGACGTAGGGAGGGTCATTGTATTTGCAGAAAAACACACGCAGCTCCTTGCTGAGAATATCGGGCTTGGCCTGGAGAAGAAGGTCGATGTTGCGGAGAGCCACATATTGAACCTCAGGAGCAGAAGCCACGAGAGTCACAAGAGGTGGCGCCATCTTCTTGAGGTAAGAGCGTACCAACTCAGGGCTGACAGCCTTCATATGGATGAAGACAACCTTGACAGCTGCCAGAACCACACTGGGGTTTACATGCTGGAACTGCGGCGCAACTCTCTCGCAGATGTGTTCGGCTTCCTTGGCGTCTGTTGCCGGGTAGTCGGCCAGTGTAGTCAAGATAGTGACGCGCCCCCACTCCGTACACTCGTTCAGGGCCATCAGCAGCTTCTTCAACGTAGTCGGGGTCACCACGAGCGCTCTTGTCTCTGGTGCGGTCTCGGTAATCTCTGACAACGCCTGGACCGAGTTCGCAACCACCATGGGATTCGGGTCACCGATCAGCTCCTGGAGGGATTCCAGAAATCCGTTTTCTATGCACATCGTAGGATTGAGGTCGAAAAGCTTAGCGACGCAAATAGCGGCCGTCTTGCGGACGTATGGCGATTCGTCTCTCAGTGTCTTCCGCAACGGTTCTTCCATGTAATCCACCATTTTATCAACTCTGATGCAGCCCATCGTTCGGATCGCCAGCGCACGGATGAGAGGATTCGGGTCTTCGGAGTCTTGGACGAATGTGTTGACGGCTAAGATGCAGAGGTCTGGATGCGACTTCGCGTAGTTCCTGGCTTGGTGTCAACGACTGCTTTGGCAAACCATCTTGGTGACCCGAGATCGGTCTGGAGTGCAGACTCACATCAGATATAGATAAACCAGCTTCTTCTGGTCCAAGTCTGCTGTAGCAATGTTCTTGAGAACATCAGGGAACAAAGCTGACACGTCCTTGCCCAACGTCATTGCCATGATCGTCTTCTGGATCGACTCCTTGCGCTCGTACGCATACTGGGAAACAAGTCCTGCACGCAGTTCGAAGGTCTCTCCCTTCCTAGGAACGGCAAAGGCCCCGCGAATCCGATTAACCGCCATGATGTTTGGTGTTGTCGCTGGTAAAGAGCCTCTGGACTACCTGGGGTGAAAGTTGATGATGAAAGAGGCGATCTGGCGGGATGAGACAGCCAGTCCAACCAGGACCTGGACAAGGTCGTCCAAGACGTCGTGGTATTAGCGGCTGCTCGGTTGCTTTACGTGATCGTCTGTTTTCGGTGATCCAGCAGATGCACCTCGTCGGTATTCGCCAAGAGGATGAGGTGGTCGAGGAAGCACCTGTCAGTGGATTGCACCCCCTAACCTTAAACCCAGCCTGGCCAGCCTGGCAATGCTACTGCGCACTGATGCACTTCCTTCAATAAGTGCATGGACCCCTGAGGGTTCATCCTTTAATATGCATGTATCGAATCGCCCAGCATATCGGGACCTTCCAGGTTCACATGTATCGCGGTAGCTAGCGCCAAGTACCAAGCTCCCATTAGCGATGCCCATAACAGCATCACGTCTTTTAACCTATTACATCAATCGTACAATCTCATACCTATCGAACGGTTTGGAACGTGCGATATTCTAGTTCGCCAAGCTTGCCGCATTTCACTTTTGTCGCTTGAAGTGTCCAGCTTCACTTGCACACTGAAGCAGACAGTTACCAGGATCAGCATGGTGAGGCCTAACCATGGAAAATTGACGAATACGTGCTTTACCTAACGACTGTATCTCAAGGCTACATTACCGAACTTGCGACGTCTTTTCATCGAGGCAAGAACAGATGATGAAGAGAGAGAAGTATCTAGAAAGGCAGTATGTTGGTCCCTTGAAATGGTGTGTGAGCTCAATTAATTCAGCCGGCAGTTCTATAACGCAGTTCTATTTATGAGCTCCGTGGCAGTCTTCAGCTTAATAGCCCAGAGAATGAATGCTGCCAAATGATGGAGATCAGGATTAAGCAAGCCTAATTAGCGCGAACCGGCGCAGGCGAAACCTGCGTGGAGCACCAGCTCACGACCCCTAGCTCCCAAGGTGCGCCTTTCGGGAGTATTGGGCAGTGATCCCTGATACTTAAATTTGTCATCGGGAGAGGCGAGATTGTTGAATTTCCAGTTGAGTGGTGATTGATACTCGCTGGGTACAACAAGAATCCTCAAACTAGACCCCCTTGTCTTCTCCTGTGAGATGTGGGTAGCTGAGACGACTCGTCCTAATATTCATCCCGTCATCGTAATCACCAAATCACGGAACAAAGTTGACACTGAATTTAAGTATATATATAATTCAAGGGAAAGCCTCGTTATCGGAACTAGAGAGGGCATGGGTGCAGTTAGCCATCCAGGAAATGACCAAGTCTTAGACCAAACTGACGGTTGGGCAGTCACGGGTCTGTGGTTTGTTACATTCTTACAGAATTCCTATTATGGTCAGCAGCTTTATCCCGAGTCCATCTACTGCATTTAAGCTTGTTGTCTCGGTCGATAATGCCAAGCATCTAATCGAGAGTACTCCGATTAGCCAGTGCACTGGACTTATATCCCGCCTCTACCGGGACATAGCGTCTGCTGGGGGTCTATCCACGACTTTGTAGCTGGTCAGATAAACATGTTGGTATCTCGGGCTTGAATTCAAAACGTAGACAGCACCGCTGACAGAGTTCGTATCCGTTTAACCGAGTATCACTCCTCAAGGTCGTTATACTCATCACGTCCCTCCTTAGCTGGCGCCTTTGCCTCTTGCTTCCTCCATAAGGCAGCAAGAAACTCGTTCGTGCTCGCCTCGTCCATACTCTTGTCCTCCCTCTTCTTCAAAAACCGCGGGAACCGCAGACTCAATCCACGATCCTCGCTGACCAAGCCGATCGCGGCTGTGTACGTCGGACTCAAGGTAATATCCGCAAATGCCATCTCCCACACTTCCTGCGGCTCGAACCACACGTCAGGCTCCGGCCCCGAGTACTCGACGAACGCCGGCTGCTGCGTTCGGGTATTATTTCTATTCCCACCGTTTAGCTCGCCGTCGTCGTAGAAGTCTCTGTTCGCCTTATAGAAGGCGTCCGTGAACCCGGACATGCATTTACATACGACTTCAAGAGAAGCGGTGTGTTCGTTACGGACGGCCATGAGGATAGGCGACCACCATTTGGACTTTCGGCCCTGTCCATGCCATGCGGCAACCGGTATCATATCCAAAGTATCGAAGCTCGCGTTGTAATCCTTTTTGACCTTCAACCACGAATCTAGACGTTTATCAGGTTCGTATGTGGCTAAAAGGGGTTTCCGCCGGCCATTTTTCTTCGTGCCAACCTCCTCATCTTTGCCGCTTCTGCCTCTCGATTTCGATTTCGAAGGTGTTCGGGGTTCCTCGGCGACCTCTCCACCAACCTCTAGTGCCTCGTCACCTCGGTATGGGATGTTGGTCAAGTTGTCCAAAATCTTCACCATAATGCCTTCGCACTTGATGTCGGTCGCTGCTTTGAAAAACTCCAGGACGGCGTCAGAGTCGTGCGATGTTGCGTCAAGGCTTTTCACCCAAGTAAACTGACGAGGAGCCTCTATAAACATGGACCGCAACAGCTCCCTCCGTTCTCGGAACGGACGATCCAGTAGGGGCTGGCCATTGAGGAACATGAGGTCGAAGGCGAACATGCACACATTGACTTGTACGCTCCCAATAGCAACGTCTTTCCGTGCACGGTTGCTCAAGGTCTGGAAATTCTTGAGCTCTCCTGTCCCACTATCCACCGCGACGACTTCGCCCTCCATAATAAAGCTATCCACGCCCTGACCCCGGATTTTGGGCATTAAAGCGACCAAATCAGGGTATTTATCAGTCATGAGTTCCAGATGGCGTGAGAAAATTGTAACCTTGCCCTTTTCGTCACAGTGGATTTGGGCACGTTGACCATCATACTTGAACTCGCAGGCAAAATCTCTGCCTTGAAGCTTGGTAAGCATCTCCGAGAGGTCCCTCGTGATGCTACCCAACATCGGCCGTAGGGGAATGTGAAGAGTTAAACCGCAACGAAGTAAAAGCTCATCACAGACGCCGATTTCTAGCAAGACTGGTACGAGGTCGTTGTAGTTGGGACGTCGCGCGAAGCAAGCTTTGACGATTTCTTCCGGCCTACTCCATACTTCAGCCAGTTCTTCCTTTTTCAACTTCTGAAGATCTTTGGTTGACCGCAAGGGGAAATCAGCCCCTTGGGGTCTTGAAAGTAGAAAAGCCCGGGAGAGGGCTATTAGCATAGTGGTTTTCACAGCTCCGATACGTAGCTGTTGTCATGTCAGTAAATGATCAAGAGAGGAGACGGACTGTAAAACTGACATGCTGGCACAGCGTCCGCACGATATATCTGCTCTCTTCACCACCCCGGGCATCCTGCAAAAGTCGATCCACGATCCTCTGTTTGGCCTCCCCACTTCCTTGGCCCTGAGTGTTGGCAATTTTGACCAGCGACTGATACACAGCCTTGATTGTCAAAGGCTTCGGCTTCCGTAAAGTGAAGCTTTGCTTTTTCTTCACCTCAAAAGCAACGTCTCCCGCATCGCCGTACTTGTCGTAAATCGTCTTCAAGGCTCGACTGTCTAGGCCGCATACTTGCTTGAGCGCCTTGGAGATTGCCGAACCTCCCAAACCAAGCTCTAAGGAGATATAAGGGGGCGAGATGGCATTGGTCGCAAGCCATACAGCTGGCAGCAGACTTTCGGGATCGGCTTCGATCAAGACCCTGATACAATTGACAAGTGTATCTACTATTTTGATGCGGCTTTGCGTCGCATTCACCAGAATGAAGCATCGGGTCAAGAATGCGTAAGATGCATGGCCACCCTCGGCAGCCCAGTGTGTCTTGAGCTGAGGAACAAAGTCTGAAGGATTGAAGGTCAAAGGGCTTTGGTCCAGAGGAATTGTTGTTGCAATAGCATCTTCGGCGTTGGCTACAGAGGACAGTGACAAGGTGTTCTTCGACGCTTCTGGAAGCATGGCAGGTCTCGACGAAAGGTCAACGTCGGGCTGCTCGTTGGTGGACTCTTCTGCCTTGTTTGATGGAAATTGAGGGCCTGGATCTTTCACAGGCTCTGGACACGGTGTTGAACTTGCCCTTTCGTTTTGTATTTCGGCATCCCATTCCGCTTGCAGCTTCCGTGCAAGTTCCTCGTCTGTCAACCGTGAGTGCTGATCTCCTGAGTCTGGGGTCTCTGATGGCAACTCTGTAGTGGTTTTAAATGTCGATGCACCATTCTCCTTCTGCTTTGAGAAGAAATATTCCAGTCCCCGCGAGGGCACTCCGGACGAGGACTTGTCGTTAAGTTTCCTTTTCTTGTGTGGGCTCGGCATGGCAGCGGCAATATCAGAAACGTAAACTTATAGAAGATGATGTACAGACATGAGCATAAAAACGAGTGACTTTGGCGAGACTGAGGCAGAAGAAGATCGATATGGCATACCGACAACTTCACTTCATGTTGTTTAAAACTAGTTATTAGCTTCCCTCACTTGTCACGACTAAGGTACTCCGTAGGTAGGTAGCTAACCCCTGTAGGACGTCTTAGTCAATGACGGTGTTTCCTTCATACAAGGACAGGGACCCACCTGTGCATCCCGTCCCCCAGGCGATGCTTAGTCATTCGGTTAGCCAGGTCGGCTATATCTTTCCCCTTTTGCCGACGCTAAGCCTCATTCGACGACCCAAGCGATTTCCACACAACATTTGCACTTCGTGCTTTTGGAAATCTTTTGCCAGTGCGGCCTTAGCCCCACCAGCGGCACCGATTTCTTCCACGTCCTCCCCCTCCACGATACCTCTCCTAACCCGCCGAATCTCGAAAACCACCACTCCTTCCACACACCCCCCCCCACGTCAACAACACCAGCAACCATGTTGAACGGCGAAGATCCGCCCGAGCGGCCCGAATACATTGTTAACATCATCAATGGTCTGGAGCGCTACAACCCCGAGGCCGTCGTTAGCCTTGAGTCGTACCTGCAGGAGCAGTGCGAGCAAAAGTACTGCGACTGCAATGCGAACCGGACACTCTTGAAGCTGTGAGCTGACCCCCTCCCTGATGCATTCTACCACTGCGCATCTCTTGTGCACGTTGTCTTTGGCTTGTCAACATTTGTCATGGTCCTGCGCCGGTTATATGATGATCATGTAAACGTTTCCTATTACCTGATATGCACTGGCTGTTCCGTCATGAACCTCTCGGTCGCAACTGAAGTCAGCTTAAGGTGTTGCCTGAACGAAACCGGAAAACATTCGAATATAAAACCTGCATGCGATCGTCAGGCCAAAATTGCTAACCCAATGCGCCTTGGCGCCTCTCTTTAGATACCAGCTCAACCCTGACCGCATGAAGGACGAGGTCGTCACCAACATACTCGTCAAGGCCATGACCCAGTTTCCGTCACCGCAGTTCAGCCTCGCCCTGCATCTTATCAACCCCTCCGTAATTGCCCAAGGCGAGCTTGCCGAGGCCGTCGCCAAGCTGCGTCTCCTGAACACCCAGCTCGAGGGCTCCGAGTATGCTCGCTTCTGGAACACCATTGACGGCGACGATCTCTGTGCCGACCTCATTGCCGATATCTCGGGCTTCGAGGACCTCATCCGCACCAACATTGCCAACCTCGTCGCCCAGGCCTTCCGTGAGGTCAAGCTGTCTCAGCTTGAGTCGTGGCTCGGCCTCAACTCTGACGCCACCACCAAGTTCGTCACCGAAGTTGCCGGCTGGACTGTCGGTGACAACGGTATTGTTACTGTGCCAAAGAATACCGAGAACGAGGCCAAGAAGTCGGAAATCAGGGAGGACGTCAACGTCGACATGTTCTCGAGAGTTATCCGGAGATCATGGGAGGAGACTGTTTAAATGAGTTGAAAACAGATTAGTACATTACAGGCTGCTGCCGCTGGTTTTTGGTGAGGGGAAGAGAAATAGGAAAGACAGGGGGAACAAGAGCGGAAAATTCCCCTCGGCCACTGATAGCTCCTTCAATGGAGTTAGGGCTGGAAGAGAGCATGACGGCAAAATTACCGGCGTTCACTGTGACTTTTGAATTAGGGAACCATAGAGTATATCCCTGAATATGAGACATACCACAAAGTTCGAGATGTCATGAATTCTTCCGATTCCAAGTGTCATGAAAGTGTCTAAACCTTTAGCTTGCTTTTCCGCCCCTTTTGTAAACCAAAACGTTCATCGCTTCTCCATCTCCTCCCACTGAACGCCGCACCATTCCTCAAGGTAACTTGCCTCACCAGCCTCGACCCCTCTCTGCTGGCAGTCCACCTCGCAAACCCCCACAATGATCGTACCCCAATCCATGCCCTCGAGCGACAGCTCCTCGGCCTCAAGCTCCGTGATGGCGTGCGGCGTCATCTGTACTTCAAACACTCTCCCAGCGCCGCAGTTGCCGCACCTTGGCATCCTTCCGCCACCGCCGAGGGCCTTGCCGACAGCGTCGGCCTTGGAGTACAGCAGGGGCGTGCCGGCGAACTCGTAGCGGATGGCCTGCTCCGGGTTCTGCGCCATGCGGTCTGCGAACTTTTGGAACACGGCGTCCATGGACGACTCGAAAACGTCTTTGGTGTCGCCGCCCGAGGCGCCGGCGCCACCCTCGTTGTCGACCTCCATCCGCGAATTCTGAGGCACAGGCATGGGCTCCGGGTCCAGTGTCTCGAACTCGGCGTCCGCGAGGTAGGACAGCGGGTATGGCTTAGGCAGAGCGTCGGCCGCAGGCCAAGGCTCCGGTGGAGGGGGCGGGCCGGAAGGGGTCTGCGGGTTGTTGAGATTGAGAGTCTCGGCGAAGGTCTTGGGGAGGGACGCTGCCGGATCCTTGACCTCCTTTTGCTGTTGCTCGGGCTGCTTAGGCTGCTCAGGCTCGGCTGCCGGCTTGGAGAAGAGGCTCGATGCCGGCGCGGTGGTGCCAAAGGGGCTGCTCGAAGATGTTCCCGTGCTAAAGGGGTTCGCGTTGCTTGCAAACGGGTTTGTTGTGCCTGAGACGCTACCGCCGCCGAACAGCGCACTGCCGAGGCCAGGGCCATCGGTGTTTTTGGGTGCCTCCTCGACTGTCTTTTTCGGAGGTTTCGTCTCGGCCTTCTTTGTCCCGACTGCGGGCGCGTCCTTGGATATCCTGACACCTCTCATAGCGCGGATGCTGCCCTGCTTGCGCTGGCATGTCGGCTTGCGGCACGCGAAGACATAGAGACGGCGCTCATGGCCGGGGAACCTTTCGGGAAGCTCACCGTTGAGCTGCAAGAGTTGAACCATGATGTCGTTGCACACTTTACAGCGCGCTAAGGCCGCCGAGGCTGGTTGATCGGGGTTCAGCCACTCCTACAGGTAGACGGCGTGTCAATCATTGCCCATCTCCCGGTCGTCGTTTGGCGGGGTGTGAGATCTGATGAGAAAGACTTACTGGTTGGCCGCCGAGACGACTGATGGTGTCCTCATCGGCGTCTTTGGTGGCATAGCCAAGTAGTACATTGGTCTCAGTGAACTCCTGTTCTGAGGAGTCGCTGTCGTAGTCTGCCATGGTTTCTGTGAGCTTGACGTGCTGTTTTTCGCGACAACAAAGGCTGCGGCCAAAACTACCCAACTATCCGGTAACCATACTACTGTGTGAGTATTTACCAAGCACACTATCCTCTGAACCTCGAGATGAGTCTTATTGGTTGATCTTTCATTTCTGGCACTGTGCGAGAGTACGTGGGGTCAATTTTTTTTGGCTTATTCAAAATATTGCGATGCGGGGCTTATCTTATCGCTCCTCGATCGACCTCCTTCAGGCGAGGGGTAATAACCACCCAATCCCCAGTGCCTTAAGCTTTGACTGCTTGATGTCATCTCACTTCAGAATGCACGCCGAATTATCTTCATGATTGGATATCATTTCATTGCTCAACTTGACAGGTCAAAGAGCAACGCCTTTTGTCTACCGTGCCAATATCTTTTTTCCATGAGAACCTATCACTCGTCACTCCTCAGGACCATCCATACCAGGACCTGGACCTCCTGCTCTGCCCATCTGTCTCGCCTTCAGAAGCTCGTCGCAGAGCAGAAGGTTAGAAGCAATGCTTGAGCTGGAGGCAATGCAGTTCCTGAGCACTCTGAAAGAGTCAAAGATACCTTCGAGCTCAGGGTCCATTGGCTCACCCGTCGCCAGGTCCAAACCAACGACATTGCCATCCGCGTGCTCATCCTGCAAAGCAGCAACTGTAGCCTGTTAGATCATGGTTATGTGGGCCAGAATTTGTGTACTTACGCGCATCCTGGATGTCAAGACCAGCGTTGGCGGCTAGAGTCTTGGGGATAATCAAAAGAGCATCAGCAAAAGCCTCGACACCCCACTTGGCCTTGCCCTTCACCGTCTTGGCAAAGGCATCGCTCTTGAGGTGCGCTGCGCAGGCAACCTGGAAAGAACCGGCACCGGGAACGACGCTTTTGTCGACAATCATGTTGTAGACACTGCGCAGACCGTCACGGACGGCATCAGTGACCTGAGTGATGGTGTGTGCATTGGGACCCTTGATCAAAAGGGTAACGGACTTGGGGTCCTTGACCTCCTCGATGAAAGTGTATTTCTCCTCGCCCAGAGTCTGCTCATAGACCAAGCCGGCCCATCCCAGGATATCAGGCGTCAGGTCATCGACGCTGTTCTGTGCAATACCTCCGCAGACGAGCTGCAGTCTCTCCATGTTTCTTCTCTTGGCACGACGCAGAGCGAGAATGCCGTTCTTTGCCAGGACGTCGAGAGAGAGAGGGTCGATACCCTTCTGGTTAACGATGACGAAGTTCTTGTTAGGATCGTTTCCGCACACCTCCTTCTTCAGCTCAACAATCTTCTTCAGCTTGGCGTCGACGAATCTGCGCTCGCTTTCTACCAGCTTGTCCCTCTGCTCCGCGCTGGAGTAGAAGAAGCCCGAGTTGATCTCGGACTTCTCGTACTCCAAGCTTACATTCATCGTCAGGATGTAGGCGTTCTCAACACGCTTGGGCATATCGGGATGGCGGGCACCGTGGTCGAGGGCAAGACCCTTGATGAGCTGGGTGTCGGAGGCGGTGCGATGCTGCATCTTCATGATCTCAACCATGTGCAGGTCGGGCTTGGCCGGGGCCTGGTAAATCGCAAGCACGGCGTCGACGATATCGGGGGTAAGCTTGCTAGCGAGGCTGGAGTTGAGTTTCGTGGACAATGACGTGCGGGCGACGGAAAGAAGAAGCTCGCGGTCGACCTCCTTGTCAAGCTTGAAGCCGTCGAGGAACTATTGCGTGTCAGTGGCGTTCCCCATGTCTGCTGATTCGCAAGATGCACACCTTAAGCGCCTCATTCTTGGCGATCTCGAAACCGTCCGTAATGATTCTAGGGTGCAGGCCTTCCGAGATGTATCGGTCTGCCTGCTTGAGGAGCTCTCCGATCAACAGAACAGCCGACGTCGTACCGTCTCCGCAGATATCATCTTGTGCAGTCGCAGCCCGAGCAATCATGACGGCGGTAGGATTTTGTATTTGCATCTCGCGCAGGAGAACGTTTCCGTCTTTTGTCAACTTGATCTGAGGGCGGCGCGCATTAGCAAGGACCAGGCAGAAGAGGGGCAGGGTGTCGCACTTGACCGGAGCCGTCAACAAGCCTAGCATTATTAGCAAGAAGTCGTGTAGATAGTTCCGATTTGGCAAAACATACATCTTGATGGTACCCAGAGGGCCGAGGTTGGACTTGAGGACATCTTGAAGGCCTTCACCAGCGCTGATGTTGACCTTCAGGGCTTCACCCCGCCGCTATTGGGTCATTAGCATTACAAACAATGTTGTCTTGAAAAAAAGGGGGGTGCACACCCTCGATTCGGCCTTGGGGTTGAGCAGTTGCGCCGCAGACATGTTGACTAGAGGTCGTCGAGAGGTTCGTGAGGGGGTTATCGGTCGGTAAGATTATTGGATTAGCGACCAGACGTGGAGTGTTCTCGAGGTTAACCTGGCCCCGGGGAGCTTCAGATGCGGGACTGTGGTGGTGACTTTTTTTCTGCCTTGAGGTAGCAGGCGGTCAAGCGCTGGTGGAAGGTGCTGGCTCGCCAGGTGCCAGGCATTCAATGCTAATGCTCGATTCAGAGATGTATTCTTTAGGTGCATATTGAAGCAAGCATATTATATGTAACAGTAGCAGTATTGGTCTGTGCGGAATCAGCGGCCAGTGGCGAATGCTGCCCATGTAAACTACCACTCAAGAGCGGGAACCAGGGAGCTGGGGGCTTCGGGGTCCTTGGGGTCCTATTAAGGACCCCCAGAATGAAACCGCTGCCTGGAGACTGAACCGCCGCTTTTGAGTCTCAAGGTTGCCCCAATAGCTCTCGAAATCTTAGGTGAGGTAATCTTTTGTAACTGGATTCTTGATGCTTTTTTCTATTTAGCTTATCAAAAAAAGTCGGTGAATCTGCTAACTCGTCCCGATCATCTCTATTGGTAATCATGTTTGCCCTGAAACCCGACTTGATCCATGCATGGATGGGAGTTAGAGTGAACCGCTTCCCCTTGATGACATCGTCATACAAAAGCGGCGATTTGTTTACTCTCTAAGTTTAATTCCTTTGGGAATTGCGAATCCATGTCATGACTTGTCTTGGTTCTTCTCATCTTCCAAGCGTATCTCGAGTAGCTTCTATCTAGCATATTTCCTCCTCACTCCTTTGCTTCTCCTATTATCTTCACTCTACTTATTTATCACATCGACTCAACGCGAAACGATGTGGGGGTCCAAGCTATCAGCTGTGCTATCTGCGCTCAGCTTGACACATTCCGCAGCTCCTGCGACCGAGGCTGAACAGGTCGCCATCGAGAACAATGTTAAGCAAGTCGCCATCATTGGTACGTAAACACCGCATGGGCCCATATATTACGTTCGCGAACACCTCGCGTCACACCGAGCTTCTACGTGCTTGGTATTACGATACAAGTGTTGACATGGCATTCAGGGGCTGGCGCTGGTGGCTCATCCACAGCATATTACCTTCAAAAGTTTGCCGAGGCAAAGGGACTCCCCGTGAACATCACAGTCTTCGAGAAGACCGATCGTATCGGCGGCCGTACTTTGACCGTAGATGCTTATAGTAACCCGCTG